CACGGGATCCTCCTTTTAAACTGACCCTTCACTAAGCCACGCCCAAAAACCGCCACCCACCAATCGCGGCTTACCAATCGTAGCTACGGGCAGGGGCTCTGTCAAGCTTTCGAGCGAGGGAAACAAGCCAAATCGTTGCGCAATTGGATTGTGCAAATCTGACACCCGCTATCCTAAAAGTTTGGACTGGGTGGTGGGATTTTTTCCCCTTTTCAAAACCAAAGCCCAAGAGGAGAAATGCCAGCGTGGATCAAGCTGTGTGAGGGGCGGTAAAGGAGTTAAGCTAAGTTGGTTTTGTTTTCGATATTCACATTCAGTGATAGGTGGCAATAACTCGCACTCCTCTTATCCTAAACAGATCTAACCTGTGTTTCTTATAAAAAAACAAAACAAAAAAAAACAAAGCAGGTTATGTTTCCCAGCGGTCTTTTTCTTTTTTTCCACTCGATATTATGAGCACTGCTTAGTTTAAACCCTCACCATTGTAACATATATAAATACATACACTAATATTTGCTTGTAGGAAAAATCTATTTGTTCACTTCTGTTATTTATACTTTGATTTGCATTTCAATTTTTTTTCTTCCACTTAACTGCAAATTTTAATAAAAACTGGATAAAGAGCACACAAACATGCTGACAGTAATAGGTACTGTACACTGTTATGGGTCAATGATGCTAATATTCGGCACAAATCCATCAGTTTCTTAGGTTATTAGATTATTTTTATAATTTCACCTCTCCTGCTGTGCATGAACTATGCTGTTGAATGTTCAGCGTATGAGGTGGCTAGGCTAACCTTGCTTCAATTTTGATACAATTATTTTCTAATCAGTTGCTATTATGTTGTGAATATACCCCTGTAATGTATACTGCAGTCCTCTTTTGTCTGGCTTTCTCAGATATCTCACCTGTTTGTCAAAAATGACTAATTAAATCCTTGGGAATGTTTGACACCAGCGCATACACACTGTAAGAGATGTGCCAGGCATGAAAGCTTGACATGCGTAGCAACAGTAACTAAGGAGGGCGAGGCTTAGCGAAGGGTTATTCCAAGAATGTTGATATGGTTTCTTTCTTGCTTTACTATTTATTAACAATACACAAAAAACTAAAAGGTTAAGGTAAATTCTTTAATAAATTCTAGTGTTTTTGATTATTATACTTGTTGTATACTTGTATTATACTTATGTTTTAGGCTAGTATTATTTACGACTTGTTAATGAATGCTTCATAATACAGTAGTATTACCAATAGTGAACAGATAAAATAAAATACAAAGTGTAGTTTTACTACAGTAAAGTGTAGTGATTTGTAGAATAAAATACCCTAAATTGTAAAATAATACAGCACTGGGTAATTTTTTTATATTACACTTGTGTTACCATAGCAACTATAGTATTACCACAACTGATCAATTGAAGTTCTTTACTGTAGTAGGCTACTGTTCAAAACACAGTACATGCCAATATACGTGTTCAGGGGCCCTGTGGAACAGCTTTCCTCAAAATGAAGAGGATGACATGGAAAATGTCCTCCACAATCTCATCAGCAAAGTGGAAGCCAGCAGACACTAGTTTACTTTATTTTAGCTGCCATGATAAAATAAGATTGATAGTGAGATTTATTTGAAGAATAAATAGTACAGTAGGCTATAATACCTTATCAAGTGTTTCCTTATTTTTATCACAGTTACATTTCCGCTTGCATTAGTTTTTGTTTAAATGCTTTTAAAATAAAATGTATTCTTTACATCCAACATCTATTCCAGGGTGCCTTATAGTGGTGTAAACCCCTTTACAAGGGGTTTTACCCCTGTGTAAACTCTAGCCACCCCTGTGGCCACCCCGATATTATTTTGCTGTTGACATTATTTATTTAAATCTACTTACATAAATGCAATACAATGCAATATTTCAATAAATAAATAGCAGCCACTAAATTATTGTGGATTGATTGGTGCCACTGACGTAGCTGGCCTCTTCTGGCCCCCCTAAGCAAATTTTCAGGGGGGCAACACTGGTCTATTCTCTGTCTTTAAGTGTTTGAAACTGAAAATATCTCATCATATAAAACAACCAAAAATTTTATGGTTTATTAGATTAAACATTTAATATGTAAGTCTATTTTAGTATTTTGGTTATTGTTATTAAACAGTGCAGCAATATGAATCATATCAAAAAGCATGAAAGGAAGAGGGAATACGACACAAATTGTGAGTTTGCATATAATCTCTGAGAGCGCTCAAGAAAATGTGTGTGTGAGCAGTGCATATTTGAGAGTGAGAGAAAATTTGCGCGTGAGCAGCGTATATTTGAGAACTCGCAATCAGTTTTGTCCACAAACAGAGGAAATCCGTGCACGAGCATCACACAAGGTAGAGAGCAAAGCTCTTCAACGTTATGTGAAGAAAACAACGTTATTGTTTGTATGAAGTAGCCTACTTCATTAACAATATGTGCTACCATTTTACATTGCTGCTAGACGGATTTGCAACTCCATCTCTTTAGCACACACAAGATTCAATTGACAAAATTCCAATTTCACTCAATTTAACTTTGCAGCATATACAGGAGTTGGTCTACTGCTACCACATTGAGGTTATGTAATTTTGGTTAATCGCAAGTTGATCACCGAAGACATAACATAGCACAACTAAACTTAATGAATTAGACAGCAGTAGACCTGCAATTTCTGTGTGATGTGAGGCAAAATGGAGTCTTTTTTTGGTGGAACTCGTTCTTGTGCATTATGCTGTGGAGACGAGACGCAGCACTGTTCAGTACTTTTTCAGAAAATTGCATTTGTATTTTTATATATCTGAGCAATGTTCTTTCATAAAAAAGGTTTGTTTAATTAATACAGATCTTACAACCATACCTAGTCTGTATATATTTTATTTTTCTGTTAAAAAGACTCGAAAAGACTCGAAAATCAAACTGCATGACTTTGGACTTGACTTGAGACTTGTTGCCTTTGACTCGGGACTTGACTCGGGACTTGCCTGTCTTGACTCGGGACTTGACTCGGGACTTGAGGGCAATGAATTGAGACATACTTGTGACTTGCCAAACAATGACTTGGTCCCACCTCTGGTTTTTGCCTCTGGGAGATGGCTTGGACTCTGGATTTTTGAAATCTCTGCCTGTTAAAATTGTAGATAATCATTTCACCTACTTGGGATTAATTATCCCCAAACATTTTAAGGATATTTATAGATTATATTTTCTAGAGGCTATTAACAAATTAAAATTATCTATTGAGAAGTGGAGGATTCTTCCATTATCATTAATAAGTCGAATTAATGCCATCAAGATGGTTATTTTGCCTCGTTTTCTTTATCTTTTTCAGAATTTACCCATATTTCTCCCAAAATCCTTTTTTAAATTGTTAGATTCTGTGATTTTTCCTTTCATTTGGGGATATAGGGCACAAAGGATTTCAAAACCTCATTTGCAAAAGTCTAGGGAAGTGGGAGGGCTAGCAATGCCCACATTCCGTCAATACTATTGGGCAGCTAACATGAGGGCTATGATGTTTTGGCATGAGTGTGATCAAGTTGCTTCCGATCAGTCAGATATATGTCATAAGTGGCTACAGTTTGAGGCTTGTTTAGTTGGTAACAGTTCTTTGGCTGCAATTTTGTGGTCGAAAGCTTTATCACTGAAAAAAGTTCAAAGTAAGAATATTATTGTTCTTAACTCTATTAAAATTTTAAATCAAGTGAAAATGGCATTAAAGATTGGGCATCGTTTATTTACCTATCTGCAAAAATCATGATTTTGTGCCAGGACAACTTGATAAGATCTTTACTTTTTGGAGTGACAAAGGACTGCGTTCAGTAAAGGATTTTTATGTAGATAACAAATTGGCCACATTTGAATACTTATATAAAACTTTTGGACTCTCACAATCACACTTTTTTCGTTATTTACAGGTGCGTCATTTTATCAAACACATTTTTCCACAGTGCGAGGAAGTCTCTCTTGACCATGATTTTTACAAGCTTTTGAGGCAGTGCCCAATGGAGAAACATTTAGTGACCAAATTTATAGATCTGTTTTCTTCTCACGTCTCGGTCTCTACAGGACATCTACAAGATTCTTGGGAGAGGGAATTAGGAATTGACATTTCATCCTCTACGTGGGAGGAGGGACTGAGTCGTATTCATTTTTGCTCTATAAATGTAAGGCTACAGCTCATTCAATTTAAAGTGATGCATAGATTGCACTATACAAAAGCCAAACTTAATAAGCTGTATCCTTCTGTCTCTCCCCTGTGTGATAAATGCAAAGGCGCAGTCGGGACCTATGGTCATATATTTTGGTCCTGTCCAGAAGTATCTGAATTTTGGAAAAGCATCTTCGGACTTTACTCCCAGGCTTTTGAAATGGACATAAAAATTGATGTAGAAATAGCATTGTTTGGATGGTCAGACCAGGCTCTAACTTGGCCTAAACATCAACAACTCTCCTTAATGTTTGGTATGGTGTTGGCCAAGAGAGTGATTCTGATGGAGTGGAAATCCACAACACCTCCAAATTTTTTTAAATGATTAGCTGAAATGGTTTCTGCCCTCAAGTTGGAAAGGTTACGCTTCTCTAGATTTGGCAAACAAAAGTTGTATGACAAAACATGGGGCCCCTTCCTTAGATGTATAGGCTAATAATGTTTCTGTAATATTTTTTTCTGGTAATATTTTTTTTGCTTCTCTCCACTTCCTTTTTACATGTTATTCTATTTTGTTTCTAATTCCATCAGTCTGGCTAATTTTTTTTTATTGTTTTGTGATGGTGCTGTAAAATTGCTGTTATGTTTGCTTGTGTTTTGGTGCATGTTCTAGTTAGTATAAGGTAATAACACCGAGACAAGTTTGTTAACATATATACATGATGTACATTATTTGGTGTTATGTTTTTACAAAACTTCTATAAATAAAGTTAAAAAAAAAAAAAAAACTCTCAATGAACTTTACTGAATAGGAAGCAAAATATAATTACCCAGCTCATCTCCTGAGGAGAAAATAGCAGAGCCCAGACGAGAGTTGTAGTGGCTGTTAGCGAAGGCAGTGAAGCTGTGCTGTAGGCGACGATGTCTGAGGTAAAGCACCACCAGGCCTCCACACACACCCACTAACAGCAGGAACAACACTGGCACCACAATAGCTGCCATGTCCTCCGATTTACCCGACTGAGACGCTGCATCATTCTGCCCTAAAAGATGAAAAAAAAGAGCATCAGGATCAACGTCAAGCTCCACAAACGCCCACAAAGATAAAGGGACTAAAGTGTTCGCTCTGAAAAAGCTCATGCCTGCTGCTTTGCCCAGTTCATCACATAACAACACCGCTGACTCTACACAAAGCTGGTTACTGAGTAGACATCGCGCCCGCACCGAGAACGTGTAGTTATGACCTGCCAGCAGGCTGTTGATTCTGAAGAACGTCTCTGTTGTGTTGCCTAAACACTTGGTGGAGTTGGTGACACTGTCATGCACATACACCTCAAAGCCCTGAGGAGGAAAAACAGGGTAAAAGGGAAGTCATTTTAAAAGAAGAATCTAAATTAGCAATAAATTAACTTAGTAAATAGGGTTAATATTGTGTTTCATGTGCTATTATTCCAGTGTTATGAATGTGACATTTGCAGTAAAAACACCAAATATTTATTGACAGAGAAAGTCTATGTTAACATATATTGAAAAATCTGTTCATATTTTCCAAAACAGACCCTTCCAGAAGAGAAACACGTGATCCTCTTCTTCTAAGATCTTGAGGGCCTCAGGTGCAGGCAGAGGAACTGTGTGGATAAAAATAGGCTTAGAGAAAAAAAATACATACACTAGTTTAAAAATAAACATTTTACATGTGGAGGAAATACATTAGCACATTTTAATTGGGACCTTTATTTGGCTATGATGGATTCATTTGATCAAAGAAAAAAAGACAGAGATATTCTTAAATGTTACAAAGCATTTCTATGAAAAATTATTTAAATCTTTATATTTACCAAATCTAAAAATGAATATCAGCAGATTAAATTGATTTCTGAAGGACTGTGTGATACTCAGGGTTTCTGCAGGTTTCATCAAGTCAAATTTAAGTCTTTTTAAGACCATTATGAATTAATTTCTGTTTTATACAGGGCTAAACACTAAGGATTATTTCTAAATGGCCTGGTTGGGCAAATGGATTATTATTTATTTTTATTTTTTAGCTTGCTACAAAAAACAAATGTAATTATTTCTTGGCGATATTATGTGTCAAAACAAGAAAACTCTAGTTGTATACACTTTTTAGTCAACATAATATTTTTGTTTTTTGACAAGTTTAACATTGTTAAAAGCATATTTACTGAGGAGATATATGTGTTAGCTTTTGGAGTAAACCTTCTATTCAACCTAATGCATTTCTGTTATAAATCCTTAAAGTTCATGTCTATTTATAAATATTATGTCTACTTTCCTTTACTTCTGTAAATAGATTTTTGTATGAATGGAAGATGATGTAAAGTGATATATTGCTCTGTTATTATCATGAGCTACTGTGTAACTGTTATTAGTTTTCTTTCCCTGGGAATTAGGGAATTTAATCTGGAGTAATTGCTGTGAAATATTTCTAACAGCTATTGTAAATTGTATCTCTTTGCAAAAGAAAAAACATAATAAACTTTAATGTATAAAAAAGGTGATTGGGTGGATGTTGGCCCGATTGCGTAGCTTTACTTGGACACCGGCCTGCAGAATACAAACAGCTTTCTGTAACAGACCTACTGTATATGGAGTTGAGACACTTTTGTAATTAGATTATGGAATTATAAACTATATTATAAATGTGAGAAAAATAAATTATTTTGGTTTATTTCTTAACATACTTATACATGCTTATACTTTAACATGCTTATTCACTTTAACACACTGTATTTTTAAAGTTTGTATTGTATTCTGACTTTTGTGTTTTTATTTGAATGAATTGTTCTAGCTGTCCTGTACGATGACCTTGAGTGTCATAAAAGGTGCCTTTAAATAAAAAAATGCAAAAAAAAAAAAAAAAAAATGCATGAAAATAGACCTACTTCGATTTTTATACGATTAAGACTATAGCCTACTGTGATTAGGAACATACCAAAACAGAGATTTTTAGATTTTCTTTACAAGTCCTAATTGAAATAAATACAAATCGAATGTAAAAAGATGGAGCATTGCTATTTTAGTCAAATTATTGACATGCAGAATCACATTTCACCGCCTTTTGCAGGATACAGACTTGCTTTTCAATGGTTACCAAAACCTCTGCCACCTGCATCTCCAAGGGCACAAATGCACGCACAGACAGACTTGAACTCTTGGGGGCTCCTCATCACACCTTCCATCATTGAACAGTTTTAAACACACTGTCTGCAGAAATTTATTACCATTCAGCGTTATAAAATGTCAATAAAACAACTCTCTTCCACCAATCTTTAGGCCATTTAGGTGTATCTTCGTGTTTGTCACGGGGGTACACATGATGGTGCTGATTGAAAGAGAAGGAGGCCTGTTGCTGGAAACTTTATATCCGCCGTCTTATGTCTGATAAATTATTTGCAGTTGAAGATGATTGAAAATTAAACGCCTGAAATTGCATAACGGTAGCATTACCATTACATAATAATATTTACCTTGACTCAATTACACTATATGCAGCACAGGTCAATTTTATTTGACATTCACAGGCATCTAAACACATTTAAAAAGATTTAAAAACATCTGTTTCATCACTGGTTAGTTCTCATTACAGTCTTGAAAAATGCTGAGAGATTGAGTTTGTTCAGCTGAGAACCAGACATGGAGAAAAGAACCACAGTCAACACTTCAGCTTTTAGAAATAGTTTTATTTCACTTTCACAGTTAAATGCATCACTGCTTCTCACAAATGTACATTGTAGAGTCTGCCAGAGCACAGTGTCACTGTCTCTCGTCACCATGCCTGGCCTCTGCAGGTGACCCTCACCTTTCCCAATGTCCGCTGGTGACCCTCACCATGCCCAATGACCGCAGGTGACCCTCACCATTGCTAGACTTTTCAGATGCCCCTTATTGGCCCAGTATCTTCGAATGTCCAATATCTAGGCCTTCATTCCTGCAGTGGTCTCTTCAGTCTGTGTCACTGCTATGTGGCATGAAAAATACAATTAATAAACCAACTCGCTTTTATTATAGTAATCTGACAAATCAGCCTTATATTTTCACTTTTCACCAACAGACACAAGTGTTTTATATATGAATGTTTTATAAATGTGTTTTGCTTGTATATTGTACCTGTTTGTGCAGGAGCAAATCGTTCTCCAAAAGCCTCTCAGTCTTTTCTTTAGCTGAGCAAGTCGCCCAGTGATAGGTGACTTTGATCTGGAAAACACATCCACAGAAAACATGAAAATGACTAAAAAACAAAACAAAAATGCTAATAATGCATGTAGATGTGTGTGTTTGGCATGTGTACTTGAGTTCTGTGGGTGCCAGATGTTGGACACACTCTTCATTTGTCAAGACTTCTTCATCCTGTAATAAACAAACATATATTGTAATTTTTTCAATCTTTCATACATATACAAACGTAAACAATGATATACTCTTAAAACACAGTGTTAACTCACTGCTGGGTTGCTGCTGGATGTCTGAGGGTACATATTGGGCAGCAGATGTGTTATATTGTCCAGCAGGTGCAGAGTCAAAGTGTTATAGTGTTCCTGTTCTTCAAGCATTGTAGGGCTGAGAGGAACACTGCACATACAGATAAAACACAACACCTTACTAACTACACCAGTCATTTTATGACTTATAGCTCCACGTCTATGAGTCTTTGTGTCAAAGAAATGGTGGATTTAATTCTAGACACCTCAATATGTTATTATTACAACTGCATCTATCAGCTAAATGCACAAATACAAACACTTACTGAAAGATGGTGGGTCCAAAAACTATTGATAAATTCGCTGGTGTCATTAGGTTTTGCTGACTCTCAGCGGCCACGCGGGAGAGGAAGAACAACAGGTAAGAGAGGACGTTGAAATGTTCCTCTGGAAGTGTGTTCAGGATCATTCTCATGGACTGATTGCGTTCTTCCTCTTTTGAATCTGCATGATAAAAAGATTTCAAGATGACTGCTGTGTCAGTTTTGTTGTATGTCAAGTTCACACAATGATTGCTCATCACTTACCCCTGAACACATTCAACAGCTGCTTCCCGTGTGACTCTGGAATGAGACCACCAGGCAGTTCCCTCAGGAAAAGTTTCAACAAGGAGGCTAAAGGATGAATATCCTCCATGTCAAACTCAGGGAAGGCTCCGTCGTTGAAACTTTTCTTCAGTTCCTGGTACTGTTTCACCTTCCCGCTGATTCTGAAGAGGCCACTGATGCTGAGGCCTAAACAAATACACATTTTACAAACACAAGCTCTTAGAATATAAAAGAAAGTGAAGTGATGTGAATAATACACACCATGCTGGTCCAGGAACTGCACCATGTGTGTCAGGGCCAAAGGAAGGCCTTGTCTCATTTGGCCATGTCGCCTCAGGTGACTCAGAGGCACACCGAATACAACACTCGGTGTTTCCAACTGCACAAAGCAGGAGATAGGGAGCATTGTAAAGTACAGGACACAAGAAAGTGACTTTAAATCTGTTTGATAAGTGTGAATTCGAACAGCAAAACAAAAATGGCCTTAAGTTACCTAACGTTGTCTGTTAATTACAATACCTGTCAATGTAAACAAGAAATATGAGGAATACATTTTTTAAATATAAAACAAGAAGCTTTTTATTAACAGTATATGTAGATTGATTGTAATTTGTTGTTCGTGTGTCGTATACTTACACAAACTGACAACACTGCCATGTTTAAGGCGGTGATTGGTGAACCAATCAGGGGCAAGTCCAAAGCCGAGGGTCGAAGCAGAAAAGGGTCAAAACCGGGAGTTCAAAGCAGAGCCAAAATCGCAATCCAAAATCGTAAGTCAAGTCCGAAAAAAGTGTCAAAAACCGTGAATTCAAAGCCGAAGTAATCAAAATAATCGCAAACCACACAAAACACCGCCAACTACACCAACGCCAAAACACCCAACAGAGAATTCTAAAAAGAACGCCTGTAAATACCTGCGCCGATCACGTCACGCATTCCATTCACGATTTTAAAAGATGCTAAAGAGCTCAGTTCAGTGTTGAATTGTCTAATCATTAAACAACATAATGTGCATTAAGCAGACTCAAATAAACGCGGTAACTAATATCAGTTAACCAAGGAGTGTTACAAATAAAGCCCATAAACGCGTCTGATGCTAATGGATGCTGTAACGTTAATTCATCTGCGAGCCCAAGAAAGTGCACACAATATTTACTGAAAGATGATGAAGTATATAAAAATGCAGTTATAATAAATTCCCATTTAATCCAAGACATGGCAATATACAAGTTATTTTACATGTCTGTGATTTTTTAAATTAAGTTAGTTGCATTACACGAGGAAGAGTGCACGTTTCCCCCAATAAGCACAAATTCACTTATAGTTTAGTTTAACAACAACAAAAGGCGTAATGTTACTTACATTTAAAACATTTGTGCTGTTTTGCCATCAAAAATGATCCAAACAAATCCGAAGGAAGACGCTGCTCGTGTAGGCCTGAGTGAAGTCAACTATTCAATGATTCATTCACAATGAGAGCCGTTTGATTCATTTCTAAAAGAATCGGTTTGATTCATTGGACAGTGAAATGTTTATTCAATCTTATATTATGAGTGACTTTTCCTTTTCTTTTAAAGTTATATTTCTTTTGGATTGTTTGACAATGTTAAAGAAAACTTGGGAAAAGTGTATATAATTAATTTGTGTATTCTATTATTCTATTATTTAGTGGCTCTAAAACCTTTTTTTGATCTGTTGAAAATTGACCTAGACCAATATTTGGAAACTATCCAGCACTATTTTAATACAAAAGCAACACAAACGGTATCTTTATATTCTTCCTTTGTGTCTCTTTAAGGTGTTATACTTTATTTCATTAGTTTTATTTTTTTTTCTATATGTATGTAATTTTATTCGATCTACCTCTTTAATAATAATAATAATTTAAAAAAAATTAGACAGTGAATCCCTCATTAATAAAGGGACTTGCCGCCACCTGCTGGCTGTTGTCATATTTATTAATTCAGACAATGAATCTGTTCAATTATTCAGTATTTGTGCTCTGTATTCTTTTTTTAATTATACTGTTAAATATTCAAAATTTAAAAATGCAATTAATTTTTTTAATAATACAAAAGGCCTTTCATGTTTATAATGCATGGCGCTGTGTTTTCAAGTCAATTTGCTGAAAGATATAAACAAGCACAAAGCAATTATACAAACATACAAAGCAAGAGGAGTCAGATTCACCAGTTTTCCACATTTATTTCAGCATAAGTGATTCATAAAACATCTCAGACTGTACCACTTAAAATATTTGTATCTTTAAAACCCTCAGTAGGCAGGCAAGATCAAAAATTTCAACATGGCGGTGTCCAAAGTCACTGCTACGCGAAAACTTTTACATCTTATTGACCAAAAAACAAATGGGTTTCAAACTGGGCATGACAAATATTGCCACAAATGGTTGCGAGTAAAGAACACAAACAAGACAAAATAAAGAAACGGTGGCTCAGGATTCACACAAGTGCTGCACTGGAACTTTTAAAACATTATACAGTGGTCATTTCACAATATGTCGATACATTTCCTATCACACTACTCCTGTCTTTATACAGTCTTTTTACACCTTTCAGTTTTCTGTGAGCGTGTGCATGTGTGATCACATTGACATACTGCTACATACTTTACTCAGTGTGTTCATAATAAGGCAATGTGGTAGCGAAAGGAACGGCTTCACTAAAATGTTTTGGTTATTGTCAATTAACAATGGGATAATAATAATGACCATAAGCATTTGAATGTAAACTGGCCATAAACCTCATTTAAAATCCTTGAAAAAGTAGGGGGTGGATTACAAGCATTTGTCTTTTTCTGGACATCTCAATACAAGAGAATAGAAAACAAGAAAAAAAATACATTCATAAACAAATCTGTTCAGTAACACCCGCAATCCAGTTAAAATAAAACATGAATTTAACATATGTACCTCTTCACAACGTTCGGGAAGGCAAGACGTTTGCTCTACCCTCTGCTTTTCTTAAGCTTGGCACAAGAGACTAGGATGAAGCTTCTGCACAGGCTTCACGGAGAGACTGTCAAGCGCAACAGTCTACCAGTTCAACACACTGCGCTGCCTGTGGCAGTGTGACTGATATCGCTGGTACATCAACATTAATCCAGTTCCCTGAGAACACTAAAGGACTAAAACCATGGCAGCACACAGGATATGCAAGATTATTTTTTGCTAGATAAAATGCGTACGATAAAGGAAAAACAAAACAAGCAGATGGTGAACATTAGATGTTTTTTTTGTGGACCGAGCATGTGGACAACAATCAAATAACTGTCACTTTCTTAATGTTGGTCATTGTTTTCCAAAAACAGCTGATGAAGCAACTAAAATAGGTCATGATTTTTATGTTTTCAATTCAACCTATTGCTGAGGGTGGAAATTAACAAATGGATACAAAGTGTAAACAAGGTACCATGGACAAATGCAGGTCTACTGACATAAAGTGACACAAATCGAGCATCTGCGAACAAAAATCTGATCCTGTGCAATTTACTGTCAACAGCCTATGTACCGGCTTCCCTTTTCGTCAGCATTCATTGGTCCGTTTTTTCATCTGTACACATGTGAGGTTAGCTTTTTCGTTTTTTTTACTCTTCTTTTGTGTGTGTTTTTGCACTGATGTACCCATATCTAGGTGCTTGTTTTGGCTTTAAGCAAATGTAATGCTCGTGTGAGACTTTGTTGTACAATAAGGGTCTTTTCCTTGTTGGGTCGGTGTGTCTGTGCTGATCAGCTGACCAACTCCTTCACAGTTTGCTTCAGTTAATGCCTACAATGTCCAATACCCACATATATTATATATAAAAAATAAGTTATTGCGCATCCGAAAAAAGTGCATCTTATATTCAAAAATATCTCTTTCGCTCCATGCTTTCTTGTCTTCCTGTGGGTCCGGAAACCCAAATCCAGCGTTTTTTTTTTAAGTGACAGGGGTCATGAGTAGCTTGAAGGTGTGCCGGATGAGCACATAAGAAAATATGATAAGGTTGTGGAGTGAAAGTGAAGGAGGAGAAGAGAAAGGTTTGTCCAGCTACGCAATGACCATCGGGACGTCATCTGAAAAACCACTGATCATAGGAGCGTCTTCATCATCATCACCTTCAGAGGAGAAAGAACAAAGATAAATATCAGCAGCTGCTTTTCATGATCAGAAAACCTTTAAAGTAAGCTGAAGCTGAATAGAAATCATGTTTCTGACTTAAAGGGCACCTATGATGAAAATCAACTTTAGTAAACTGTTTGGACAGATCTGTGTGTCGTTATAGTGTATCCACTGTCGTATTGGAGCAATATCCACAATAGAACTCAAAAATAGGACTCAAATCCCCGCTTTTTATTTTTTTTATTTTTAAAAATATTTCTCAAATTAAGTTTAACAGAGCAAAGACATTTTTACAGTATGTCTGATAATATTTTTTCTTCTGGAGAAAGTCTTATTTGTTTTATTTCGGCTAGAATAAAAGCAGTTTTTAATTTTTTAAACACCATTTTAAGAACAAAATTATTAGCCCCTTTAAGCTATATATTTTTTCGATAGTCTACAGAACAAAAGATCATTAAACAATACCTTGCCAAATTACCCTAACCTGCCCTAGTTAACCTAATTAATCTAGTTAAGCCTTTAAATGTCACTTTAGGCTGAATACTAGTGTCTTGAAAAATATGTAGTCAAAAATTATTTACTGTCATCATGACAAAGATAAAATAAATCTGTTATGAGAAATGAGTTATTAAAACTATTATGATTAGAAAGGTGCTGAAAAAAAATCTTCTCTCCGCTAAACAGAAATTGGAGAAAAAAAATAAACAGGGGGCTAATAATTCTGACTGTATGTGTGTGTGTATAATGCAAAAGGCATTTGTGTGTGACTCATCATTTCAGAAAGGCTTGAATAAACTCCACCAGAAACACATGAAATAAACTTGTTATTTTTGACTAATGAGCTGTATTTCAGCTTCATCCATGTCTGTCTCTATCACTGACTGCTGTTTATCTGATATAATGCAGGAAAAAGCAGACACGCACATGGAAACGGTGGGCAGGGAGAAGCAGCTCATTTGCATTTAAAGCCAAAGGCTACATCAACAGCTACATAGTCCTCAGACTCTAAAATGGGCAGATTCTGGTGCTATAATAAATTGTCTGATGGGTATTTTGAGCTGAAACTTTACAGACACATTCTGGAGACACCAAAGGGTTATCTTACATCTTGTGAAAGGGGTAAAATAGGTGCCCTTTAACTTAAAGTGATTTAAACTATGCTGAATTGAAATAAAGTAAACCAAACTTAGGTGAACTTTAGTGACAGAACCCAACTGAATTTAGGCGAACAAACAGAGGAAGTGAACTAAATGGAAATGTACTAAATATAAGTTAAAGTAAGTAAGGTAAATATTCCCCTACTGTGCAATAATCGTGCAATACTTTATCATACGCACTTGTACACAGCACCTTATATCAATAAACAATGCAATACTTTCTCCATTCGCATTTGTACACAGCACCGTATAACCTGTATATTTATAACAAATCTGTACATACAACTCAACATCCAGATTTTTATTTTGACTAACTGCATCTCTGTTTAATGTTTATCGTATTTCTTTTTTTCATATTTTTGGAAACAAATTCCTTGTGTGTGTGAAGCACACTTGGCAATAAAACTGATTCTGATTCAAATGTGAACTGAACTAAAAGTAAACTGATCTAAACCAAAAGGAAATTAACTAAAATTAAGCAAACTTAACTAATGGCAATTCAGGAACAACAAATTAAAACTGAATGAACTAAAATGGGGGCGACACGGTGGCTCAGTGGTTGGCACTGTCGCCTTACAGCAAGAAGGTTGCTGGTTCGGCTAGGTCAGTTGGCTTTTCTGTGTGGAGTTTACATGTTCTCCCTGTGTTGGCGTGGGTTTCCCTTTGGGTGCTCAGTTTTGCCCCACAGTCTAAAGACATGCGCTATAGGTGAACTGAATAAACTAAATTGGCTGTAGTCTACAAGTGTTCATAGATGTTTCCCAGTACTGGGTTGCAGTTGGAAGGGCATCCGCTGTGTAAAACATATGCTGGATAAGTTGGCGATTCATTCCGCTGTGGCGACCCCATATAAATAAAGGGACCAAGCCGAAGGTATATGAATAAATGTACCAAAATGAAGTTAACCGAAGTCAACTGAGCTAAGATGAATTGAAATAAACTTCAAGGAAGGAAAGTAAACTGAACTAAAAATTAAGTTAAACAGTCACCAGAGATAAAGACAAGTGACATTAACTAAAATGAAGAAAACTGTGCAAAACTGAAGTGAAGTTGAGCTAAACAAAAAATGAACTGATATAAACAGAAGTGAAAATAAAATAAGCTAAAATAAACTAAATTCAGTTGAGCTACACTTAGGTAAACTAAAATCAGAACTGTTCTTATGACCAGTGAATATCACTAAAATGTAACGGAGCATAACTGATATGAACTAAACAAAAAGATAAGTGATCAAAATAAGTAAACAAAACTACAATGAAGTGAGCTGTTTTCACAACAGCTGAACTGAACTGTCAAACTAAAAGTCAACTAAGCTGAATTAATATGAAAGAAAGTCAACAAGATCAAACTGAAGTGAACTTGACTGAATTACACTGACCTCAATTGAAGTAAACTAAACTCTCAATGAACTACTGAATAGGAAGAAAAATATAAATTACCCAGCTCATCTCCTGAGGAGAAAATAGCAGAGCCCAGACGAGAGTTGTAGTGGCTGTTAGCGAAGGCGGTAAAGCTGTGCTGTAGGCGACGATGTCTGAGGTAAAGCACCACCAGGCCTCCACACACACCCACTAACAGCAGGAACAACACTGGCACCACAATAGCTGCCATGTCCTCCGATTTACCCGACTGAGACGCTGCATCATTCTGCCCTAAAAGATGAAAAAAAGAGCATCAGGATCAACGTCAAGGTCCACAAACGCCCACAAAGATAAAGGGACTAAAGTGTTCGGTCTGTAAAAGCTCATGCCTGCTGCTTTGCCCAGTTCATCATATAACAGCACCGCTGACTCTCCACAAAGCTGGTTGCTGAGTAGACATCGCGCCCGCACCGAGAACGTGTAGTTATGACCTGCCAGCAGGCTGTTGATTCTGAAGAACGTCTCTGTTGTGTTGCCTAAACACTTGGTGGAGTTGGTGACACTGTCATGCACATACACCTCATAGCCCTGAGGAGAAAAACAGGGTAAAAGGGAAGTCAAACGAGCAATTCCAGCGTTGTGGAGGTGACATTTGCAGTAAAACATAAAAAATATATTGACAGAGAAAGCAAATGTTACCATTATATTGAAAAATCTGTTCATATTTTCCAAAACAACTAAACACAGAGTAATGGGATCAGAAAAATATCCATCCATGAACATTATTTAGATTTTAAATGAGGAAAATAAACATGCGTTATGGATGTGACCAAAAAAGTTTGCTATTTAGATGAAAACTACAATTTTTTCATGATCAAGCTTGACATTTGCTAGGAATTGCCCATATGCTGAAGATCTGGTTTCTAACCCTGCTCTCATTAAAGGTGCGATCCTTCACAGCCAGACTCTTCCAGAAGAGAAACACGTGATCCTCTTCTTCTAAGATCTTGAGGGCCTCAGGTGCAGGCAGAGGAACTGTGTGGGTAAATATAGGCTTAGAGCAAAAAATACATACACTACAGTTTAAAAATAAACATTTTACATGTGGAGGAAATACATTAGCACATATTTTAATTAGGACCTTTATTTGGCAATGATGGATTCATTTGATCAAAGAAAATATTCTTAAATTTTACAAAGCATTTCTATGAAAAATTCTTTCAATCTTTGAATTTACCAAATCTAAAAATGAATATCAGCAGATTAAAGTGATTTCTGAAGGACTGTGTGATACTCAGGGTTTCTGCAGGTTTCATCAAGTCGAATTTAAGACTTTTTAAGACCATTTTGAATGAAATTTTAGTTTTATACAGGGCTAAACCGTAAGGATTATTTCTAAATGGCCTGGTTGGGCCAATTGATTATTTATCATTTATTTATTTATTTTTATTTATTTTGCTTGCTACAAAAAAACAAAACAAATGTAATTATTTCTTAGTGATATACTTATCAAAACAAGAAAACTGTAGTTGTATACACTTTTTTCAACATATTATTTCTCTTTTTTGACAAGTTTAACTTTGTTAAAAGCATATTTACTGTGGAGACAGTTACATAAATAATCAAAAAATATATAAGTGTTAGCTTTTGGAGTAAACCTTCTATTCAACCTAATGCATTTCTGTTATAAATCTTTAAAGTTCATGTCCATTTATAAATATTATGTCTACTTTCCTTTACTTCTGTAAATAGTTTTTTGTATGAATGGAAGATGATGTAAAGTGATATATTGCTCTCTGTTGTTATCATGAGCTACTGTGTAGTTGTTTTTAGTTTTCTTTCCCTCTGAATAAGGGAATTTAATCTGGAGCAATTGCTGTAAAATATTTCTAACAGCTATTGTAAATTGTATCTCTTTGCAAAAAAAAAAAAAAAAAAAAAAAACGTAATATAAACTTAAATGTGAAAATAAGGTGATTGGGTGGATTTTAGCCCGATTTTGTAACTTTACTTGGACAAAGGAAAATTAAGACCTATTTAAAAATCGATTTAAAACACACAACACAATGTTTCAGTGAATTTAAAAGTTTTTAAGAGCCCGTGGATACCCTGGATACTGAAGACTGGAGTAGTGAGTGACTGCTCAAAATATAGAATTGCATCACTGTAAATTCAATTACATTTTTTAGTGTATTTCCGATTAAGTAAAAGACAGAAGAATAGATGCTGCTGGAAAAGGTACTGTATATGCTACAGTTTTAATAAAAGTTGTGCCCCTAATAGTTTTCATACTGTATAAATTGTGTTATAAAAGCAATAAGGCACTTGAGGCTGCGCTACATTGTGGGCTGAAGTGCTTGCAGCCACTTCACATACTGCCTCAATATATGACAGCCTCTCAAGTCCATAATAAACCTATTTTACATAATAAATAGAAGTATTATAAAATATTATACACATATTAAAAATATAATGATGTATATTTGGTAACACTTAAATTAGATGGCACCCTTTAGACATTCTGTCGACTGTAAGTGACTCTGCAAACAGCAAATATCTGTTAACACTTTATTTTGCTACTCTACAATAAATATTCTACCATTTCTAATATGAAAGCAATGCATTTTCGACTACTCTTGAAGTTGAAAGTGTGCAAGCAACAACACATTTCAGACTCCATTTATTCAGCATTGTCCACTTCTGATCAGATCAGACAAAAATGCATCTTAATTCTAATTCTATGCCCTGAGATTTAGTCTACATGGAGCAGGACTATAAATATAATGTGTGATGCAACATTTTCATACAAAAACAATATCAGAGAGATGGCTGTACCTGTGCTGAGTGTATAGCTGGCTTCTTTGCTCATGTTGAGCAGTCTGATGGTGATGCTGTAGCGTCCGGCCGGCTCCAGGCCCTTCAGTGTGTACTCCACTGTGTTATTCTGAGTGATCACTTTATAGTCGCTCTCGGTTTTTCGAACTGTATCTCTCACATGCACAGCATATGTCTGGTATATAGAATACATATGATTAAAACAATTCATTTGACAATATTAAATAACTTCATGCAAAGCTATGTAGATGTACCAAAGGACTGCTGGGAGAATCATACGGCGGCTGCCACTTCAGAGTGGCCTGCGTTTTATCCACTCGCACTTTGTGCAGGTTACGAGGTGGAAGGCGCTCATCTGGGATCATCTTCACTACAGCATAGTTTGATGGAGGACCCATGTATGGAGAAACCACTCGCACCTAAACAACACACACATTTGATTAATTCATCTGGGTGTTAAAGTGGATGGACGAGTGAGCAGCAGAAGGATGGACACTAACCAGGAAAAGGTACTGCTCATCGCTGTCAACAATCACAGTTAGACTGCTAGATGTGCTGTTCACCCTGTGAGGTCTGCGAAACAGATCCAGGAATGAGGTTGCGTAGAACACAGCGTACATCTGTGGAAAAATAAAAACATAATTTTTAGCTCAAAGGTCTGGTCACAAATGAAACTGGAAAAGTCTGCAGGATCAATAGCTTTATTTCCACTGTCGGGCCAGTGCAAGCCAGGGATTTTATCGGGCCAGGATGGGCCAATCGCTAGGGAGGTTGAGTAGTGAGGCTCAAATCATGTCGCGTTTCTACTGCCGGGCTAGTAGCTCTCAGCGCGTCACGCAAATCCCATCCCTAGAACATACCGTGATGCAAACATCTCACCACCCGCCCACCACCACCCGGAATCAGGCAGATAAAGCACACTATCGCATCATCACGAAACAATTACAATAATGACAACCAAAACAAACAAATGACACGTTACTGTACAGCATTATATTTTATGTCTATACGCACAGGCCTGTGTATTTCCATTCATTATATTTGTTTACTCATCGATCGACTGTTGGCATGGTGCATCAAGCATCGAGCGGTCTCGCCACTAACGGAGGGACCAGTGCAGAGAGCGCACCCACCCATATTATAGAACCACAGAAATTCTCCAGTAATATCTCAATATAAAATGTATTTTATAACATCCTCGTTTAGATAGACGCTGTCAAACATTCTGCTCAACTATAATCCAGAATTAACAGTGCATATCTTTGTGTGTATCTTTGAGTGACTATTGTAGATACGCACATTGGGATATCGACGCTGAGACGATATATTGTGCAGCCTTGAACTAAACCCTCAGTAAAATGTAACATGGGAAATTTTTTTGCTTTCACTTAGAATTGCAATTTTATGGATTGCTACTGAAGTTTGAAGTTGTTTGCAGGTGGAGTTGCTGAATGAATGAATTAAATTATGTAAAATGAATAGTTCATGGATAAATTTGGAGGACACTCATGAAAAAGTTAGCTTTTAATACAATTAACAGAAAACTTGATATGCAATAAAAATGAAACTTAATTGACTTAAACCGCCTTGGACAACCTGTGCACTTAATAAATAAATTGTTGTTCCTCAAAGCTACAAAAAAAAGAAAAGAAAAAAAAAACTTCCTATCTGCCAGCTGTTTTGGAGTGATAAAAATGTCCGCTTATGCAAATTCATTTAGCTTGACCAGATGTGGCTGGGCACATTCAAAGCTAACTTTTGCCAACATCATACTCGACAGATGCATAGAGTATAAATCAGTCTTGAGTTTTCCCTTAAATAATTAGAGAACATCTCTATCATTCCTATTTTCTTAAAACTTTGTTTATAACTCTTAGATGTATTACTCTAATATCTTAAATGCCCAGTGCACGTCACATTCCATATTCTTTAAAATTAGCATTATTTTATTCATAATCTCAACACCGATATGTACACAGGACGGGACATACAGTAGTTCCTTCCTCTGCCAGTAAGAGTGGCTGAGATCAAGTGTATCAAATGAAAAGCATACTGATACTAACATTTGAAAAAAAAAAACATATTGATTTAAATATTGATTTCTATTATGGGTTTTTGAAAATGAGCTTCCATGCAGTGTGTAACAGCTCTAAGCGAATGCAAACATCCAGCTGATGCTTAAATCTGAAAGTGCAACATTTAAAACTATTGATTCTTTAAAGAAAGAGTCAACTCAGGGTCAAATGAATAAATTGTGTTGGGTTCAGATTTTTTGCTTGAACACTACAACGTCAATATGGTACATGACCAAATATGAAGTGCCGGTTCTGGTAAAACGTAAAACTCCGGATCATAACATGTAAGTGTAATTAAAATTGTTGCCTTGTTTTCTGTATTTTGCAAAATAACGTTATTTAATTGTGTGTTGTAACTTGTAATCGCTCCATGTGGCTTGTAATCACATATCTATTAAAGATCAGTGCTTGTACTGTATCTCTCAGGTTAAATTATTATGGGGCTGTTCACATATTGCATCCAAAACCACATTAAAAATGTGAAGCATGCTTCTTCCTTTAGCAATTTAAATGCGTTTCTGAACTCGAGATCCTCTGCTGTTTGCCCTTGCTATGCCCGCTATCAGCTGTTCCTCACAGACATGGCAAAGTCAATTTTCTAAATATTTCAACTTTTGCTATTATGTGGATTAATATTGAAAGTATGTCAGAGCATAGTAATATGCTCGTGTTTAAATGCATTGCTTTATTGCATTACTGCATTGGGCTCTCGCATACTCTCTGCTACTTCATAGCCGTGGTGGGTGCTTCTCTCTATCTCGCGCTGAAAGCAGTCGACCAATAACAACTGATTGGGATATCTGACCAATCACAGCAGATTAGCTTCACGCAAAGGAGGGGTTTGGGTAAAAAAATGAATTGCTGAACGAATCATAAGGGAGTCAATGGGATAATTTGGTAAAAATAAATAAATACATATTAAAAGATAATGAAAGTGTTTTTTTGACCCTGCACACATATCAGCCAGCTGTTGGTGAGCCCAAAAAACAAAATATGACCTTTTATAATGCAAAATAGGGGCTCTTTAACTGTAAAACTGAATACTGCCCAATGTATAAATGATTTATTGTAGAGAGAAGGGAAAATAGGTTTGTTTGTAAACATTTGGTTTTATTAAGAACTACTGGCAGCCTATATTTTCATAAAAAAACTCAATGGGTGTTGTTGTGTTCCCAAAAACCAAAACAAAGCAATATTTTCACCTTATTTTTATGAATTTCCCAAACACTGAAACTCATACTGAAATGACAGCATTTCTTTAAATGTTTGTGAATAAAATGCTTCATTTATTCATTCATTCGTTCATTCATTCATTCAATAGTAAATGTGGATCACATTAGGAGCTGAAATTGATGTAAAGCAGGACAAAATAAAAGTGTATGTGCCTTGAAGAGATCAAAATACAAATGATCACAAGAGACATTATCATACTCATGCTAACACCAGATAGAAACAGTGAGGTATCCATATAAACACTAGTGATAGGATTACTGAAATCATGACTAGATGGAGACAGTCTAACCTCTGCTGGCGGGCCAGTCCAGTTGCAGTCTACAGCAGTCTGGTTGAGGGCTCTGGCCTTTAGTGAGGGTTGGACAGGTCTGCTGCCTTTAGTCTGCTGGCGGGACAGGGCTGTAGGACTGTCTCCATCATCAGTGTGAGCCCACACCGCCACCTCATACTCCGTCCCTGCTGTCAGGTTAGAGACTGCACAGAAAACAGCACACGCTTTCTATCTTCTTTTAGAAATGCTGACAGGAGGTCCTAATGACGAGTTTTTAAGTGTTTTACCTTTCAGTGTTTCTGGGACCGTGTAATTCCAGCTCTCCTTAACATGTTCATCAAATACCCAAGAAATTACTACAATATAGAGCTTCACCTAACAGAAAGCGAGTTAAATATTTTAATAATGCCTGAAGGTGGACATAGACGAATCAAGAGAAATCAGTGAAACAGCAAACTGACTAACCTTCACCTTATAATCATTAGAGATGGACAAACTCATTGAGTCTTCTGTGATGCTGGTGATCGTCACTTTAGGTGGAGAGAGCGCTGAAAGACATTCAAATATACATGATTACTAAACAGTAAAATAGACACTAATATGTGTGATGTAAAGAGTAATATGTTTTAACTGTATATACAGTTGAAGTCAGAATTATTTGCCCTCTTGAATTATTAGCCCCCTATACATTTTTGAAGTGCATTTTTGAAGAATTCTGTTTAATGAAGAGAACATTTATTCAACACATTTCTAAACATAATAGTTTTAATAGCTCATTTCTAATAATTTTGTCATGATGACAGTAAATAATATTTAATTACATATTTTATCAAGATACTAGTATGCAGCTTGTTTTTAAATCTCCTCAAATGTCCAGGAGTCGACTTTTCCTTCCTAAAGTTTATTTAAAAACTTTTGGGTTGTCTTCGCAGCTGACAGTGCGCACAGTGAGAAAAAGTAAACAATAGATTCTTTAACCTAAACGATTAAAAAAACTTTACTAAACACTCAGAGGACGAAATGACATCTAAACTGGCTGCAAAATATATGTACACCAATAGAAATGGTCAATCGACCCTTATTAAATAATCTACATGTTTTATTCGAATTATTTATTTCTCTTTCGCTGTATATGTTATTCATTTGATAATGTTAATATTTTACATATTTTTTACCCATCTAAAATGCTTTGGCAATACTGTACTAAAACGTCATGCCAATAAACATTTGCAACCTGAACTTAAAAGCATTGTTAAAAATCATATTATTCTTTGTTCACGTTATTCATTAACCATTTATGAGCCACAGTAAAGGATGTGTTTCAATCTGGCTACCACCACAAGTATATTTCAAACCTATGGGAAGCACTGTAGGGTAATTAGGCAAATCATTGTATAATGATGGTTTATTCTGTAGACAATAAAAATACTGCTTAAGGGTGCAAATGATATTGACCTTAAAATGGTTTTAAAAGAATGTAAAACTGCTTTTATTCTAGCCGAAAAAAAAAAAACTTTCTCCAGAAGAAAAAATATTATAGAAAATACTGTGAAAAATGCCTTGCTGTTAAAACACTTGGGAAATATTTGAAAACGTAAAAAATAACTCACTGAAAGGTTATTGATTTAGACTTCAAATGTATACATACATTAAACGCACTATGTATGCAGTACATATACTGTCTACTCTAAATAGGTCATTGAGATATAGATATATATTTAATAAAATATAATTTTGATGATTTATATAACTGATTTTGTGAGATTTGACTGATTATATTGCCTAAGCATATTAATGTAACTGTATCTATACATTAACTGTATACATACATTTATAAAAAAAAAACATTATCAACACTAAGTATATAATACGCAAGTGGTCTACTCTGCAGAGGTCATTGAGACATTGATATGTATTTCATAATATACAATTTTGATTATTTATATAATTGATTTTTTAGTGTTTGACTTGGATTATATTGCATGTGAATATTAACTGATAAACTACCATTCAAAGTTTATACAAGTAAGCACTTTTTTAGTATGAAAGGTTTTCTTTTCAAATTAACCCATTAATACAGAATCTGAAATGGGAATTTACGTGACTATTGTATTTGGTTTCAACAACCTTATCAGACAAAATGCTTGAGCGTAAATGTCCAGCAGGGGGAGCCAGTGCTCCGCAATGGGGTTTATACAGCATAATTACCTTTTTGAGGAATAATAGACTTTATTTCTGTCCAGTTTCCAACGCCTCTGCTTGTGACGGCAGCCACCTGAGAAATAACAGAACAAGAGCGGTTAAATGAAACAAACCAAAAGTGCACATGAAACAGCAGCATGCAGGATCTCAGAGCATCTCACCCTAAATCTGTAGAGCGAGCTGGGCTGCAGGTTCTTCACTTCTGCGTTAGTGCTGGTGCTACTCAGAGAAAACCACTCTGCACTGTCCTTCTCACTATACTCCACCTGTACAACACACGGAGCAGACAGTTAGAGAGGATGTGGGGTCAATGCTAGAAAGTATAGAAAGGTAGTTCATCCAAAAATGTCAACCAAGTTATTGACTTCTGACTCTGGCGAGATCCTATTTTTTTCATACAACAAATGCAGAATAAAAAAAAGTTTTTTTATAGTATAAAATGACAGATATTTAGGTCTTTTTTCAAAACATGCAGCAATATTTACATTTGTTGTTTTTAATGTGAAAATACAGAAAACAATCTTGCCATTTTTGACCTTTAAAAGCATTGGGCTCTGTAATTTATAGAAAGAGAAACTGAGAAAAACTAAGAGAGAAACTTTGGTGTTTGTTTTTTAATCCTATACAAAATAAAATAAAACAAAACAAATTAATGTTTCAATGTCTGATTAATAAATAAAATAATAAAAGAAACATAAACTAAAACAAACAAATAAAAACATAAAATAATTTAAATAAGAAAATAAATAAACAACAAAAAAGAAAGCAAATCCAAAACACACAATAAACTATATAAATTATGGAAAAGAAATAGTATAAATAAATATCCTAAAAACATATAAATATACATTAATAAAAAACAATAAATTAAATTGATTCGAAATTGAAAAAAGAAAGAAAAAAAATAAATTCTAAATAAAAAAAATGACAACTAAAATCGTTTTAGTCAACTAAAATCAATTGTTTGAAAATACAGAAAACAATCTTGCCATTTTTTTCCTTTTTTTACTTTGCTTATTATAAAACACATTGCATTCACGTGTAGAAAGTGCTAGGCATGATGCTGTATTTCTCCTTAGTTGTCTGATCCGCTTTAGGCATATCACAATTCTCACAACACACATTCACACTATTTGAATAAGATAATGTTTGTTTTATTGATCACAAAAACATGGAAATTTTACCTGATTTTAAAAGTTTCATAAAATTTGATCATTTTGAGTCATTTATGTATCACATAGGATGCAGTAGACGTTATATGGTTAAGTAAATGTTACACTCCTTCTCTCTCTTGTTGTTCCCTTTATATAAATTACTGACACCAACAGCTCTTGAGGTAAAAAGTGTGTATATTTTTACAGCAAAAAAGCACAAGCAACGCCAGAAATATGGTAACAAATTTTGTAAAAATAAGTCATTTTAGGCTGCAATAATTGGAATATTTTCCTGCAAAATCCAGGAGGGACCGATTGAGCACTGAGCAGACAAAAATACTTCAAGAAACTATTTTAACATTATATATATATATATATATATATATATATATATATATATATATATATATATGACAAACAAACACTCTGATATTCAATGACGTGAACAAAAAATATTTAAAGCCCCTGATTTTCAATGTCTGGAATAAACCTTTTAAAATTCCATGATATTCCAGAAATAACATGACAGTGTAAAACATGAACATTGTGGATCATGAGCTCTGATTAGGTCACTGGTGCTGAAAATGTAACCGTAATAGCCCTTTTTGTATTATATTAATTTGATTGCTATTCATTGCCATAATATGGACAAACATAAGCAAAAAGAAAAAGAAAAAGCATTGACAACAGTGGAACACCACCAGGGTGAACAAAATATGACGGCATTTTAATTGTATGTTTCTCACTCACAATATACTCCCTGATGTGTCCATGTGTTTTATCAGGAGGGCTCCAGGAACACAGGACCGTCCCGTCATCAGCTTTGTCACAGCTCAACTGAAGGCTCTGCGGAGGGTCTGGCACTGTCATACAAATAGAAAGACCAGTCATGAAGAGAGAGAGAAGAAAAACAAATCATACTTGAGATTTTTGGAGACTTACATCCTTCTGGAGTGCGCAGAGTAAGATATTCATTGGTCCTGTGCTGTTTGCTAAGGCACTGAGTCTGAACCTTCACGTTGTATGTGGTGTCTGGCATCAACACGGTCAGAACGGCACTACCCTTATTGCTGTTTGTGTCTATTGACGTCCACTGTTGTACACCCACTGGCCTGCAGAATACAAACAGCTTTCTGTAACAGACCTACTGTATATGGAGTTGAGACACTTTTGTGATCAGATTATGGAATTATAAATTATATTATACATATTATAAAAATAAATTATTTTGCTGTTTTGGTAAGTCTACTTACATTTATTTGTAATTATTAATTTAATAAAATATTATCAAGTTAAATTAAATAATAAAATCTGATAAAGAAACGGTCCAAAATAAGGAAACAACATTTATATGCAATCTATTCTTAAGAACTAAATATATGTAACTGAAATAATAAAAAGAGACTAAAAGAAATTGTAAAATAATTTATAAAAATTATTTTAAAATATTATACAATTAAATTAAATATATATAAATATATAAAATTGAGGAAACAATAAATAAAATTGATATGAAAACAAAAGAAAATAAATAAAAATAAATAAAAAAGAAAATAAATTAAAAAGTAAATAGACAAAAAAAAAAAAAAAAAAAAAGGAAAAAAAAAATAATAATAATAATAAATAAAAGAAAATAAAAACAAAAAGAAAAAGAAAAATAGATAAAACTAAACAATAAAAGAAATAAAAATAAAAAATATAAATATAATTAAATAAAAATAAAATAAAATAAAATAAATAAAAGAAAATAGAAATAAATAAATAAATAAAAAGAAAGAAAAATGACAACTAAAATGTAACTTAAAAATATAAATTAAAAAAGGATAGATTTATCCAGTCCCTGCTTTACCTGAAGTAGATGACAAAAGAACAGGAGGATGTAGGCATATTTTTAGGCCTTGTCCATGTAAGCTTGACAGCTCCAGAGAAATTGGCAGTCCACTGTAGATTCTGAACCTTGTAGACCTGCTGTTCATCTGGGAAATGCAAAATCAGGGTGAATCAGCATGAACAGGCAGACCGTCAGTTTAATGTGCTCCAGTGCAGCAGATTTCCAGCACTGCAAAGACGTGATGAACGTCTCTCAGTGTCTCACCAGTGCAGTTGTGCTCGTCACTTCGGTCAGAGCAGTCTATAAAACCATCACACCTCTCGCTGTTCAGCAAACAGGCCTCGCCGTCTGCACACCGCGTACCATTCGCACAGAGCAGAGGGCCATGAGTGGCTGAAATACAATGGAGAGTAAAATAGGTAAAGCTTAAGGTAGTGTAACAATGCAATTTTTTCTGAATTAATTTTTAAGACTTTCATATTTATCCTTAAAAGGAAGATAAAATGTCCCTTTTCATGAGCTGCAAAATTAATCACTAGTGTCCACAGGAATTTTTCAGCTCTAATGTCACCACAGACAACTGTAGCTTGTCAACTTTCTGTGTGTGTCCCTTTAAATGCAAATGAGCTGCTGCTTTCCAGAAGAGGGTGGAGCCTTTACATGCTATTCTGACAGCCCAGAAACAACAAAACAAGCAAATCTCACCAAAATATAAAAAATTAAAGATTAAAGGCTCGCATGTTCAAATCAGATGCTGATAATACTGGAAAAGAAAAGGTTACAACTTCTAGAATGTACCAGCAAATTTCTGAACTGTTAGTGGATAAATTCAGGTAGTTTTAGTGGCGTAAAATTGACTAAACTCATGGAGTATGCTAGTGTTCTAATGTGCCAGCCTTTACAAATGAACAGTGCAATTTTCAATTCTGTCCAGAAAACTAAAACGTCTGTCACTTGACTATACAGTACATAAAACCGGTGCATTTATGAATTATGTGAACACTGAGCATTTCTGTATAAATCTAACAAAATATCTGGTCTCTGTGTATACAGTCATGGACAATGGTAGCTTTAGCAACATTACCCACATTACACATATGCGAAGATGCACAAGGGAACCTAATTATAGTACTTAGTAAAATTAAAAGTTGTATTAGGTCTAAATAAGGAAAGAGAGAGCAATTGTGTCCAAATCTATAATAGCCACTTACGACAGTTGGCCTCGTCAGATCCGTCCAGGCAGTGAGAATGACCATCACAGCGCTTCCAATCTGAAATACATGCTGGAGGCTTCACACACAGAAACTGATCTTTAGTACAGCGGCCCGATGGAGGAAGAGTCGTCACTGAAGTCACAGAGCCTTTCACTGAGCGGAAGATATAAACAACACAAGCCAAAATGATGCGGTATACTAGGAAGCAAAGTGGTTTCCTCATGTAAGCTGTTTACAAAACAAGTATAATAAAAGTAGCTTTTCTAATAAAAAAGTCAGCTTATTTTGGAAAGAAAATAGAGAAATTCACTGATGTACTCTTATTTGTATTAAAAATATGTCAAATAAAATAAATCATAGTTAAATTGTCTGGATACAACTGAGAAATAATTTAATATTTTGCTTATTACTGAGTGAGAACACTCAGTATATTAAGTAAATTACATTCATTTGGGAAGCAAATGAACAGTGATGATGTGGGGCTGATGCATCAACCAGAGCCAGCTGAGCTATAAAAAATGTGTCAATTAAAGTGTTTGAACCTGAGTGTTAAATGTTACACATAATTTAAAAAATAATGAATTAAGCTTCATTTACTGATTTAAGTTAAAACAGGCAAGACAATTTTTAGAAGCATGTACATATAAAATTCAAAAACACATCTAATGTACACCGCTGTACAGTATATCAATGCTGTAAACGGATTTTTTAAAAAAAGTCAAATTAATTTCTTATTTCTCTGCAATTTATTAAGACTAACTGCAGCTAAAATTAAAAATGGTAAAACACATTCCTTTAAGTACAATAATGTAAAACTGCATAACTACATCTTCCTCATCTAACTTAGATGTAGATTAATCTTTATTCAAGGTTTAAAACAATTAAATGGGACAGTTCCTGAAAATGTAATCATTATATGCTCAGCCTTCATTTTCATGTTGGAAACTGATTTCCGGTTTCCAACATTCTTCAAAATATTTCTGTTGTGAAAAAAAAAGAAGCAAATTATAAAGACTTGAAACCACACGAGGGTGATTAAATAGTGAGTACATTTTTGTTTTTGGATAAACTATTCCTTTAAATTGTTACATTTTTCCGATCAGGTAATTAGAATAATTAAAGCAGGGGGGTTTGACCAGCCTTAGTAAAACTTGATTCGTGCAGAAAGATGTCAAAATATGTGTGGGGGGGTTCTGCCCTTTATATATTGGGAAAATAGTTTGGATTAATCAGTATCCTAAATAATAAAATATAACAAGCTAATTTAAATTTCACCACAATTATAATGGTTCATTCTATTGTGAATGCATGATCGCACCCTAAAGGTATTTTGGAAAAATACAGTCAGTAGGGGTGTGACGAGATGCCTACTCCACGAGACATGAGATGAGATAAGATTATTACACTGCTTTAAAGAAATCTTAATTGATGAAACATATGAATGTAATAGTCTTAAAATTCAAATATTTTGCTAATAGACAGTTGAAGTCAAAATTATTAGCCCCCCTTTGTTTTGTTTTTTCTCTTTTTTAAATATTTCCCAAATGATGTTTAACAGAGCAAGGACATTTTTACAGTGTGTTTGATAATTTTTTTTCTTCTAGAGAAAGTCTTTTGTTTTATTTTGTCTAGAATAAAAGCAGTTTTAAATTTTTTAAACAATTTAAGGTCAAATATTAATATTCCCTTTAAGCTATATATATTTTTTGATTGTCTACAAAACAAACCATCATTATACCATAACCCCCGTAATTACTCCAACCTGCCTAGTTAACCCAATTAACCTTGTTAAGCCTTTACATGTCACTTTATGCTGTATAGAAATATCTTGAAAAATATCCAGTCAAATATTATTTACTGTCATCCTAGCAAAGATAAAATAAATCAGTTATTAGAAATGAGTTATTAAAACTATTGTGTTTAGAATTTTGTTGAAAAAAATGTTTTCTCCCTCAAACAGAAATTGGGGTAAAAATATACTGGAAGGAGGGGGTGGGGGGTGGTGTTGGGGGGGTGGGGGGGTGGGGTGGGGGTAATAATTCTGACTTTAACTAAATTAACAGAAATGGTTTTAAATTAATAAATGAATAAATAATACCAAAATGCAAAACATTTTAGATGTTATTAATGAACTTTTTAATGTTTTTAATTTGTAATGAATTTACATCCATTTTAATGAACCATTTTTTATATTAGTTTAATTGAATTCTATGCATAGAACATGCAAACACTGCAAAATATTTGTTAATATATAAATGGAAAATAGACTGACTAAAAAGACAAACTCTGACTGGCTTTTCCCCAATAGAATTTCAGAGTATTTACATTGCAGATCTTGATGGTTATTTTGGATTTTGTGACAGTATACGATTTTTTATTTTTATTTATTTTGATGACTGGCTTACATTTATCATCTTTTAAAGAAGCTATTTTAATGTCATGTTTATGGTGTGATTTATGCACGAGATGCAATAGTTTTATTTTATTATGCTGTGCTGTCTCTCTTTCTTTCTCTCCCTCTCCTTAAACATGCTTAAATATTTGAACGTGTTTGGTAATGTTTGGGTGTGTTGAGTTGAGCAGTTCAGTATGTGTGTGCGCGCTTAGATATATGTGTAGGAGCAGATAATATAGTGTTAAACAGCTATGTGGACTGTCCTGTCGCAAAATGCTGCTAAAAGTCCTATACGATACTAATGGTTTGTTTGTGGTGTTTACATATCTGTACTGCACTTCAATAATGCTGCTTTCTGCACATCTTAAGTGACATTCTATCGGTGGGAGTGTCCAAGGGTAATTTGTGTGGCAGGAGTTCTAGTTGCAGCTTCTGCTTGGACATGAATAACAGAGCAGCCTATAAACTTCCATTGAGGAAAAGAAGCACTTACGTCACACCCGTCCGCCCAACTGAGTGACATGTGCAACACAGGTGTGTGCAAAGCACTTGATTTGCGGCTCAAATTCAATCCTGCTTCCAATCTTCAATGCTAATTTCCCCCTCATGCTCCATCATGCTAACATCTCAATTCACGAGACAACTTTTCACCTGGATGAGAAATCTCATCGCAATTTAATCTCGCAAGACCTTGTGACATCCCTAACAGTCAGTGGTCAAAAACCTAATAAAACCTAATGGTCAGAAACCCACCGATGGAAACAATACGTTTTCAGAAGACTTGTAAAATAGGTGTATCTACATATAGACGCATAGTAAAACTTTAACAGATGCCTATGCTGACACTTAAACAGTAAGCGCAATCTTTCATGATAATCCATTAATCGTCCAAGAAATCAAAACCAGATCATCTTTGAGACTCATGCCTGTTGAAGTAGCTCATGCACTCAGTATCCCTCAAAACATTTGAGTTACTTTATACATGGTAATCAAACTTAAGCATGCTTGATTAATAAACAAAACTCTATCCCTGCAAGCTGCATTTGGATTCTCTCATGGGCCGTATGCTGGCCAACACCTGAGGTAGTGACCAGTAAAAGAGCACCTGTTGGACAGCCTGCTTCATCACTACTATCAGGACAGTCCGCATAGCCGTCACACACCCAGGTGTCCACAATACATGCGCCAGAACCACAGCGGAAACGATTAGGAGCACAGGTAGCAGGACCCGGTGCAGGTGTGTGAAGAGCTTCGCCACCTGGACAAACACACACATACAACATCATTCATTTCACAAACAAGCTTAATACAACCTGACTGAGCTAGAACACAAAGTAGCAGACCAGTCTGAGTACCTGAACACTGAGACTCATCAGACCAGTCGCCGCAGTCATTTTCTCCATCACATTTCCACCAGGCAGGCACACAGCGGCCGTTTTTACACTCAAACCGGAAGTAACTCGTGCAGCCTGGCTCCTCAGTCGGCGATGCTGAAATAGAAAGTACACAATTTTTAAAATGAAAGCACAGAAACATGATGTAATGTACTGTTTGACTGCACTGGTTCTCTGAGGTGAAGTCTGTAGTCATGGATGTGCAAACATTTGTATTGTGGTGTGGCACATTTAGGTTTGACTACTAGATTAGGCTTGTTTGTAATGCTCACCACAGTTGGCCTCGTCCGAGTAGTCACCACAGTCGTCCATGCCGTCACACTTCCACTCCAACGTCACACACATCCCATTGGTGCACTGGAAGTTGTAGCCGTCACATGTTTTCTCAAACTCAACACTAGTGGCTGTAGAAGAGCAAAGAGCAGAATAATGTAATACAAAACACATTAGGAGCGTGCAGACTTTTACATTCATTCATTTTCCTTCAGCTTAGTCCCTTATTTATTTATCTTATTTATTCCAACACATGTTTTATGCAGCGGATGCCCTTCCAGCTGCAAAACAGTAATAGGAAACATTCATACACTCTTAGCATTCACACACACATACACACATACATAAACACATACACTACGGCCATTTTAGTTCTTCCAGTTTATCTTTACCGCATGTCTTTGGACTGTGGGGGAAACAGGAGCACCCAGAGAAAACCCATGCGAACACAGGGAGAACATGTAATCTCCACAAAGAAATGCCAACTGGTCCAGCCAGGACTCAAACCAGCGACCTTCTTGCTGTAAGGCTAACCACTGAGCCACCAAGCCGCTACTTTTTTTTTAGATACTATTCTAATTATTGTTGTTTTATTTCCAATTACTGTTGACATTATTAAGTTTACTACTCACTTTGCAAAAACAAAGTTAAAGACAGTTACTGACTTAATTTCTAAATAAATTAGCTATGTAAAAAAAATAGACAACTTAAATAAAACATTGTTTAATTATGCATTTTTTAAAACACACAAAACATTGATATTTATTATTTTTGTTGCAGACCCATAGATTGCAATACCAATGTCAATTAATTAAATGTTATGAAATGAATTAAATAATATGCTGATTAATAAATCAAACTAACTGCAGTAACTGCTTATATTAATTCTTGTTGAGATAGTGATTTTTGAAGGATCTTGTGAATTTAAAGTCTACAGTAATGGGTGCGATTTAAATTGAGCTTTGAAATACAGGAACAAATGTTATTTAACTTTATTTGCAATAGACAAAACTTAAATGAAATTTTAATACTACAATATTGGCCCAACCATATTTATTTTTTTTACCCCTACCCCTTCCCCTTGGCCCCTTGAAACAGAGTGTAAAGGGGAAAACCTTCAAATTTTCCCCCTAAGAAATGGGACACCACCACAGCACCTGCACACGTCATCGCAAGATCTTACTTCATATAATATCGACAATGGAGACTGCTGTAGTTATTCCAGTTGTGTTATTTTTTGGTATTTATCTTCTGGAAACCACTGAAGGCATATATTATGTTATCATAACAATCTAATGTGGGAATAAGCTCGCAACTGTACTGTGTATTCACAACATGACACACGAAAACAACATCAAAATTATTTCAGATATTGCAAAAAGCTTATTCCCAGACACTAGACATTTCTGACAGGGCATTCGAGTGACAGATGTGAAAGTATGTTGTGGGACTACTAAACAAAAGTTATTATTATAGACAGCAAAATTTAGCCCTTCCCCTTAGCGCTACGCCTTCAAGCTATGGACACCCCTACCCCTTCAGGTGGAAACGCAAAACGAGGGGTAGGTGTAAAGCCTGGTTTATACTTCTGCATCAAGTGACCGGCGTGACCCACGGCGCATGCAACGCGCGTGGCTGTGCATTTATACTTCTGCGCGCTGTCTCTGTCGGTCTGTATTAACACTTCCGAAACGCTAGTTGGCAGTGAGGTGTAAATGTTCCTCTGTGTCGAGTTTCTTCTCTGGTTTTGAGCTTTTCCTGAACACTTCTGGGATGTACAAGTGGCTCAAACTCGCTCATTTTGAGGCAGGAACCGGCGGACATGCAGCAACTTTAACTATGAGGTAAACACAAAACAAAACTTTCCATCCGGAGCTCCTTCACGGGACCCCACACTTGTAAACAGTCGCTCTCGCCATTCGCGCGGCTCTCGGTCCCGCCCAGACTCGTCAGCGCTACCAAGCCGACCAATCACAGAGCTTGCGCTACACGTCGTTGCGACGTGTAGTTACATTTTTTGAGAGGTGCACGTCAGTGACGGCCACGGCCACGGCGAAGGGCTATGCGTCAGCGCCGTAGCATACGCCAGTGTTTGACGCAGAAGTATAAATCAGCCTTAAAGGGAAGGGCTTTTATTGGAAGAATTGGGATTGGGCCATTGTTGTTTTACTGTATTTGTAATTAAATAAATGCACAGTGGCGTTACGGTGGCACAGTGGGTAGCACGATCGCCTCACAGCAAGAAGGTCTCTGGTTCGAGCCTCGGCTGGGTCAGTTGAAATTTCCGTGTTGAGTGGGTTTTCTCCGGGTGCTCCGGTTTCTCCCACAAGTCCAAAGACATGCTGTTAAGGTGATATGGAAATGATAAATTGTCTGAAGTGATTGTGTGTGAATGAGTGTGTATGGATGTTTCCCAGTGATTGGTTGCAGCTGGAAGGGAAACAAATACTGGATAAGCTGGCGGTTCATTCCACTGTGGCGACACCAGATTAATAAAGCCAAAAAGAAACTAAGCCAAAAAGAAAAAGAATGAATTAATGAATAAATGCACACTTGTAAAACTGAAGAGAGTTTTAAAAGCATACATGTTCCTTTAATGATCGGTTTCTAACTTTCACATTTTAGATATTAAATCATTGGACTCACAGCATCCAGCATAAATGGGGTCCTCATCAGAACCATCAGCACAGTGCCGGGTCCCGTCACAAACCAGAGACTGAAACAGACACTGCGCTCGATTTCTGCACACAAACTCCATATAGTGTGCACAGAGTGGACCTGTAGAACACACTCTGTTATTATCACCCTCTAGTTTCAATTACAAACAACATGCATATCAATTTTACTTAATAAATTGAGCACATACCACAGTTTTGCTCATCAGCGCCACCTGGACAGTCCTCAACACCATTGCAGTGAGCACTTGCAGGCAGACAGGTGCCATTCGAGCATAAGAAGCCATTGCACTTTTGCCTTCCTGCAGAACGACACCAGAAAATATGAATACACAGTAAATAAGTAATACTTTCATGGCACTTATAATTGTTATTCATGGACAGTGACAGAACATTTAATTGTACCTCTAAGATTTTGCATCAAAAAAGTAAGATTTTAGTGTATTTTTGTGTATTTTCACAGCAAAGCAGAACATTTGTTGTAAATAATGACATATGTTTTGATAAAAGCCATCATAAAATAAAAAAAACAATAGGCCACAAATATTTAAAAAATGTACCTGCAAAACCATGGAGGGACTGATTTACAGTTTAAGTGGCCATTTGAATAAGGTCAAGAATCTTGGTGTGACTCTTGAGTCAGATCTGAGTTTCAACAGTCATGTCAAAGCAGTCAGTAAATCAGCATACTATCATCTCAAAAACATAGCAAGAATCAGATGCTTTGTTTCTAGTGAAGATTTGGAAAAACTTGTTCATGCTTTTATCAGCAGCAGGGTGGATTACTGTAATGGACTCCTCACTGGTCTTCCTAAAAAGACAGTCAGACAGTTGCAGCTCATCCAGAATGCTGCAGCCAGAATTCTAACCAGAACCAGAAAATCAGAGCACATCACACCTGTCCTCATGTCTTTACACTGGCTGCCAGTTACATTCAGAATAGATTTTAAAGTATTATTACTGGTCTATAAATCACTAAATGGCCTAGGACCTAAATACATCACAGATATGCTCACTGAATACAAACCTAACAGATCACTCAGATCATTAGGATCATATAAACTAGAAGTTCCAAGAGTTCAGTCAAAGCAGGGTGAATCGGCTTTTAGCCACTATGCCCCTCGCTGCTGGAATCAGCTTCCAGAAATGATCAGATGTGCTCCAACATTAGGCACATTCAAATCAAGACTGAAAACACATCTGTTTAGCTGTGCCTTTACTGAATGAGCACTGTGCTGCGTTCGACAGATTGCACTATCATGTTTTTCTCTTCTTCTTCATTCTTTCATATCACATTTTACCTGTTTTTATGTTTTGTTTTGTTTTTACGCATTTTTATTATTTGTTTTTATTTTTATTTTACTTGTTTCTTTTATTCTTGTTTATGTAAAGCACTTTGAATTGCCATTGTGTATGAAATGTGCTATATAAATAAACTTGCCTTGCCTTGCCTATTTGTGTTCCACAAAAAATGTTTGAAATAGGGAAGTCAATTTCCAAACAATAAAAAAAATTGCAGAATTTTTTGCTGTTAATCATTAACCGTAAAAATACAAGAAGTGTTTATTACTATGGCATGACAGGATGTGCAAATGACAGTACAAACGTAAGCATCCTCAACAAAAGGAAAAATTTTATACTGTGATTAAAAGGCTTTAGGATTGTACAAAGAATCAATGACTGATTAGTTCTTTTCGACACAAATATGTCTATATATATATACACTCACCGGCCACTTTATTAGGTACAGCTGTCTAACTGCTCGTTAACGCAAATTTCTAATCAGCCAATCACATGGCACGAACTTAATGTATTAGGCATGTAGTAACACTCAGGATGATCTGCTGCAGTTCAAACTGAGTATCAGAATGAGGAAGAAAGGTGATTTAAGTATTCTGAGTATTTCAGAAACAGCTGATCTACTGGGAGATCTACAGCAGAAGATCACACCCAGTGCCTCTCCTGTCAGCTAAGAGCAAGAAACTGAGGCTACAATTCACAAAGGTTCACCAAAGTTGGACAATAGAAGATTGGAAAAACATTGCCTGGTCTGACGAGTCTCAAATTTTGATGTGACGTTCAGATGGTAGGGTCATAATTTGGCGTCATCTACATGAAAGCATGGATCCAGCCTGGCTTGTATTAATGATTCAGGCTGGTGGTGGTGGTGTAACGGTGTGGGGAATATTTTCTTGTCACACTTTGGTCCCAATTAGTACCAATTGAGCATTGCTGTGTCAACGCCACAGCCTACCTGAGTACTGTTGTTGACCATGTCTATCCCTTTATGACCAGTGTACCCATCTTCTGATGACTACTTCCAGCAGGATAACGCGTCATGTCATGAAGCGTGAGGAATATTTCTAGTATCCTGCTGAATCTATGCCACGAAGGATAAAGGTAGTTCTGAAGGCAAAAGTGGGTCCAACCCAGTGCTAGCAAGGTGTGCCTAATAAAGTGGCCAGTTAGTGTATGTCAGTCATTGTTTTTGTTTATATTTATCCTCATAAGTAAACATTGTTAATTTTGCAAGATATTCTTAAATATATTTACATCTTGCAAAATGGCCAATGTTTACTCATCAAGAACCATAACAAAATAAAGGCTGATGCCATACAGTTATTGGCCCAATCTTTTACGTACTTCACATAAATAACATATCAATATTACAAAATTATGTTAGTAATTTCAATTTAGCAGCTAGTTAGATAATACACTAATTCATTTTAGATAATTAGCAATCCGATAATGCTGCCCACAATGAATGTGGTGCAACCTCAGATGGTAAACTCATGCTCAGTTCTCTTTCTCCAAGTGTAGTGGCAGAGAGCTGTTTATAAACTCATGCTTTGCTCACTTCATTTTACTTCTGCACTGGCTGTAAGTGTTTTGCATGTCGAATGGGTCTCAAAATTATGCAAGTTAATGACTTCTGTGCTTGGTCGACTATGGATAAAGAATATCAACTTAAATGATAATCAGCAGTTATTTAATTATTGGCATCCTTGGTTTGATTTTACTTGAGGGCGAGTTAGATTTTATGACTGACCACACTGCGTAGGGTCCTCGTCTGAGCCATCCTGGCAGTCGTCATCTCCGTCACAGACCCAGCGCTGAGGAATACAGTGACCAGTGTGACACTGGAAACTACTGCTCTCACACGTATGGTGACCCACTTCATGAAACAGAAAGAGGAAGAGATGGATGTTAAAAATGTAGATGTGGCATTTTTTACTGTATATGTCTTGCACGCATGTGTGTAAATGAGTCTGTTTTCTCTCACCAGTACAGTTGGCCTCATCTGACCAGTCTCTGCAGTCGTTGTCCCCATCACAGCGCCATGCGTCCCGAATACAAGCGCCTCTTGCACAGGTGAACTCTCCTGGTCCACACTTGTGAGACTCTAAAGGAAAGATAAGACACATTGAGAAACCCTATTAAAAAAAATCATAAAATCATGTTAGAACACTTGCAAGATCTAAACTTGTTTGAAATGTGCTCTTTATGAAGCTTAACAGTAAAAATGTTTTCAATTGTTCGACTTTTTTTGTTTTTATATTTATACTTTATGTATTTTTTGTAATTTTTAGTAATTTCTAGGGGTGTAACGATACACTCAGCTCACGATACGATGTGTATCACGATATAATGTTCACGATACGATATGTATCACGATATTTGGAATAAAAATTTTAAATTAAACTTAAATGCAAATTTTACCAAGAAAACTATTTTTTATGTATTTCTTTTGTTTCAACTTGTTAAACTGAACCTTCTTTAAGAAAATAAATTAAACAGGCCTGTCTCTGGAAAATAAAACAATTTAAAAACTTCTTAAAAATATTATTGAAATGAAAGAGACAAAATTAAGGAACAATTTAAGTAAAGGTGCAAAAAAATAAGCTTTCTATTCAATTGAATTTAACAGTAAGAGCTTAAGGCTTTGCTTGATCACTTGCGTTTTTTTGTGTGTGCAAAAAAAAATCACATTTCCAGGTATTTAATTCATATTTAATTAAATTCATTTAGAGATATCTCTAATTACAATTGTGACTAGTCAAAACTCATTTAGAGATATCTGCAAATATTTTTCAATGGCAGTCAATGGAGGAATATGACTAGTCATAATATATTTGCAGATTCTGATTTTGTACTAGTACAATTGTAATTGCAGATATCTCTAATTGTCATTCTGACAAGTCGAATTATAATTATGACTAGTCACAATATAATTAGAGATATCTCTAAATATATTTATGGATAGTCAGAACAAAGGTTTAAATGCTAAAACAGCTTGCCATACGCGCGCGTCTATCATCCGCCCTCTGTAGTAACAGCTCACGGTCAGCTCACGTCATGTGTGATTTTGCGGCGGGAACATTATATGAAGACAGAGTGATATTTTAGGGTGAATTGTACCTTATAAATACAGTATGTGACTCTTTCAACACCATTAGGAGGTATCCCTGTTGCTGTGCAAAGTATGTAAATCACTGTGAAGACTTTAAAACTTAGGCTATGTTTGACCCAGTATGCGTGTCAAAAAGCGGACGAGTCTAAAGCAATGACTGTACAACCGAAATGTTGCCAGACGTCTGATTTTGAGAGGATGGGCCATCCTCTATTTCAACTCCACTCATCTTGGTCTGCTAACATTACTGCTGCTGCATTCTGAACTCACGTGCGACAGCAGGTGGAACGTAGCTCACGTGCAAACAGCTCAACTAATAAGAGAAAACGGATGTCATATCGTAATCAAACCATCATAACGCCACGATGCATATTGTGACATTTTTGCATCGCAATAAATCGAACAACGATAAATCGTTACACCCCTAGTAATTTCATATACCTTTTAAAAATAATAAATCATATTATACAATTTTAAGTACTAACCTATAATTATTTTTTATAATATTATATTATTATTATTATTATTTATAATTACCTCTAAAAAATGTATATTAAATCTTAATTATATTATATTATATTATATTTAAATTTTGCTTTAATTTTATTTAAAAACCCTTTGCAACACTGACTGAGAAACAGAAATAAAAACATTTCAGTTTCATACCAACTGTTCTAACATGTAGATTATAACCAATAATAGATTATTATAATGCTAAATTTTAAATCATCAGCAATCAACCTCAGATATTTCCTTTATGAGCACATGGGCAAGCCCCAAACATTACCACAATGCTCCTCGTCACTGTTATCCCCACAGTCGTCCTCATGGTCACACTTGAAGGCCAGAGGAATACAGGAACCTGAAGCTACACAACGGAACTGCACTGAAGGGTCACAGGAAGTGGTGGCTGCGGACAGAATGACACATAAAACATCTGCGTTATATTACAATATTATTTGATCATGTTGTGTGGGGCTGAAATAACAGGAGTTTTTTGGGAAAAATAACAAAAGGGGAGGGTGGCGGGAGATGGGTCTGAAATACGGGGGACTCCCGAAAAAAAAAAAAAACGGGAGTGTGGCAGGTATGGTAATACATACAATATATACACGTCAAATTAAAAATGTCTTTCAAAATTGTCTAAAACAACAATGGGTGTTGTTTAACAGTTAGAGAACAACTTTGATGAAATGATTTGAACAACTTTAAATGTTAACTACTGTATATTACATTACATATAAACAATATTCACTACTGCATAAAATATACATTACATATTTATATATTTCTTGTTTAACTAGTATTGTTAACTTTGTTGTTTTTAATTCAGTTGCCATTATTTAATATTTATATGTGCATTGTCATTATTATTTTCCCCCCTACTATTTGTTTTAATAAAAGCCTCAGGTAGACAGATGTTGAAAATTAGCATGTGTGCTAAAATACTCAAGCAAATGCATATGGACTGTATTTGTAATGAACATGTTAGATTTAAAAAAATTGATAAACAAATATGAAACAAAGGGGACGGGGCTGATGATGTCACTCACGGCACTCTTGCTCATCACTCATGTCGCCGCAGTCATTGTCACTGTCGCACTTCCAGATGCTGCTAATGCACTTCCCGTTAGCGCAGCGGTGCTGGTTTGGCAAACATGTGTGCTCTGAAACAAGGGAACAGCAACAGATAGAAAGACATAGACTTAAAAAAGTGTAAACCAGCAGATTTAGAGATCATAATATGGGGCACTCTTGTGTCAGTCAGACCTGTCTTGACACATGTATTGTTGTGTAGTTGGTATCCGCTGGGACACTGGCACTGACGCTCTCCTGAGGGCAGGACGCTGGTGGGAACCCCATCGGGACAAACACAGTGACGCTGGTTTCCAGGCTGGGGAAGGCACAGAAGACTGCATGGCTGATCTGCGCAGGCATTCTGACCTAAAGAAGAGCAGAAAATTAAAACACACACACAAAAAAAAAACATTTCTAAGTCCTAAACTAGTTGCGGGTGCTATTTAAGACCCATGAAATCAATTTTGGGGTTGTGTGGCTTTTGGTGCATGCCTGTTAGCTTCTACCCTTCAGAGCTTACAGTACTTATGGAAAACAACAATGAAAAATAAGCCTCGAAGTTGACAAAAAACAACTTTAAGGGAAAAAAAACTAATTATATAATTTTTTGTTAGCTTCAAAGCCATTCATATGAGTCAGTTCATAATAAATAATCCTCTTGAAAACAGGGATAAAGAAAATTCTTTCAGGGGAAATTCAGATACAATGCATTAGGCATTTCATGTATTTGTATATTTATAAATCGTATTCCTAAACATTAGGCCTAAAAAGAGAAATAAGTGCATAACAAATATTATTTCGATAAATTGACCAAAAATACCGCATGTTCCACCAGTGTTTAATATTAGTCACATGTATGATATACTACAATTTATGTGCTAAATTAGACTGTACGGTTAAATTTTTATATATCTTAATTTTTACTTTTAATTTTTACTTTTAGATATAGAACAAAATGTTTTTTTTTGTTATTTTAGCACTTCTAATTAAAGTAAATACATTTTTAATTGCTAAATTAAAAAAACTGTATATACAGTAGAAGTCAGAATTATTAGCCCTCCTGTACATTTTGCTTTCCCAATTTCTGTTTAATGGAGAGAAAACTCAACACATTTCCAAACATAATATTTCTAATAACTGTAGGGGTGTCAAAATAAATTGCTTCTTTGGTGCACCATGATGCAGATGGGGACAATTCGATATCGGTTCAGTAATAAGTCAGAGCCGGTTATTACGTACTGACGTCACTTACATCCTATACACAATGTAAAAATCCATCTCTGCCTCTCTCTCTCTCACCCACTTTGCACATTTGACCCGCTGCGCTGGCTTCTTTGTGAGGTAACTTTTTCTTTCCTCTTGGCTATTAAATCGATACTTGTGGATCCAGACATGAGCGTGCCTGATTTTCGAGTTTTCTCCACTGTGTCTATCACGAATTACCTGCAGTGGCGCCCCCAGAAATTTTTTTTTAGGGGTGGCCAGAAGAGGCCATACGAAATCTTGGGGTGGCACACAAAAAAAAAGAAGTATGAATTCAGTGCAATGTTATATTTTTGTTCCTAGTAAATGTATTAATGGGGTTTTAATTCATTTAATTAAATACTCTTGAAATATTGCAATTAATTCCTAGAAATAATTCAGCGAGTACCTGTGTAAACCAAATAAACATCAATATTTAGTTTTAAAACACTTTTCATACTTATAAATAACTTTTTAGGTATGTTTCACATACTTTTATTGTACAGCATACAGTATATGCCATGTCTAAAATTAATGAAGATTAATGAGTTAATTATTAAACAAACAAATGAACAAACTGGACAAAAGGCATTACTATATACACACACACTCTCTATACAGACCCTAATAATATTATTTATCCACAATATTATTCTAGCCACAATATTATTAATGCAGCTTCTACTATTGATGTAAATAATAAATTGCCATTGCTATCTATTGAAGGTGTGTGCGTGCTGTTAACGAAGATTTATTTATATTTATTCTAAATAAATACAACTATCATTAATATTATTATACAATTATTATTCTAAATAAATAACAGAAATCAATACTAATTGTTACTGGAAAACAATGCAACAACAGGGTTAGCGATATGCTAAAATCAGTTAAGAAACCTTTTGCATGAATATTAATTATGACAATTTTAAAGAAAACAAAAACATTTGTTTCATAGAATTATCTGTTGTCTTAGACCCTACTCATGGCCAAGAGTTAATGTTATGAAGTCTTACCTCCCTGACTCTTTATCCCTCCTTTCTGCTTTAAAGCTCAGTAACATCATCATCATATCATATAAACTTTAGTTTAATCAACTTGCAAAACTCGCTGCGTACCGACACCTCTGCACAAAAGTCTGTTACTCCGGTTTCACGGCGTATGAAAGGTGCGTATTTTATCGCCGTACATGCAAACAACCGCGATGCAGACAAGAGTGCATGAGGTGCATGCGAATGGTTTTCTGCGCGTATGCGTCAGTTTGCTTTCACCAGCGTTGAACCAGCTCTGATGGGAAGAGGCACTGAATCAGCTACGTCATTGGCACCAACATTAATTTAGTGGCTGCATTTTATTTATTTATTGAAATATTGGCAATTTATATAAGTACATTTAAATTAATAATGTCAAAAGCAAAATCATATTGGGGTGGCCAGAATTTACCCCTTGGGGCACCCCTGATTACCTGTGATAACCGTGTATTATGCACATAAAGACTGTAACCGCAGCCGTTTTTCCCGCGTGACTCATCAGTGAACAACACTTTAATTTCTAAAGCCAAGGGCAGTCCTTTCTGTAAAGTGGGTGAGGACAATGACGAATCATTGGGGTGTAAGACAGTGCTCAAAAAGCAAGTGGGATAATATTTACAGTTTATTTTAGTTTATTTCCCAATAACTAGGTTAATTAGGCAAGTCATTATATAATGATGATTTGTTCTGTAGACAATCAGAAAAAAATATTGCTTAAAGAGGCTAATAATATTGACCTTAAAATGTTTTTTAAAATTATAATAATAAAAACTGCTTTTATTCTAGCTGAAATAAAACAAATAAGACTTTCTCAAAAAGAAGACATATTATAGGAAATACTGTGAAAATTCTCTTACCCTGTTAAACATAATTTGGTCTAACCTCTGTTTTTTCCCTTGTAGAAGATCTTGAGGTCCATTACTCCTGTTAGGCGGCCCACTATCAACTCACTGTCCGGTGAGCCTGATTTCGGTGCTTTGAAGATTCCCATTCTGGACCAGTCATCCCAGTACAGGTCATTCTACACCAACAAAGACACCAAAAGTTTAACAATGTGTTACCAATCCTTACCTGCAACACTGCCATGATTCATACAGTACCACTGTGCCTACCTTAAAAACAGCAATAGCGTAAGGATGAGGCAGGCCCTCCATTATGACAGTGCGGCTTCCTCCATTAAAATCAGCTCGTTCAATGCGGTCTCCATATGCCTCTGTCCAGTACAGCCACGACTCATCAGCTGTAATGCCATTAGGCCAGCGGACTCCCTCTGACACAATGCAGGAGATGTTCGAGCCGTCCATCCAGCTGCGGTAGACGCCTGCTGCACGATCACCCCAATCTGTCCAAAACATCAAGCTAAGAGAGACATGCAGATCAGTGAAAATCCTTTTCACAAAAACAAATAATAACAAAATAAAAAAAATTCACTAAAACCTAAAATTCTCTATTATCCGTCGAAAACAATACGAGGTACTACCGATATATCTCAAATAAAACAAACATTTTCAAAGAGATGGCTGATGACTGATATTTCTGTATCCAAATTAATCATTAATCTCAGTTGATAACCAATAAATGATGGCAATATTTTAAGCATTTTCAAGAAAAATGCTCTAATATCAGCTAATACTATGAAACCGATATATCTGATACAATACAAAACAAAAAAAAATGTATACCAGCTGATAACTGATAAATTATGCTAGTATATTTAGTCATTTCATTCATTCATTCATTTATTTTCTTGTCAGCTTAGTCCCTTTATTAATCTGGGGTCGCCACAGCGGAATGGACCACCAAGTTATCCAGCACATTTTTACGTTTTATGCAGCGGATGCCCTTCAAGCCGCAAGCCATCTTTGGGAAACATCCACAAACACTCATTCACACACATTCATACACTACGGACAATTTAGCCTATCCAATTCACCTGTACCGCATGTCTTTGGACTGTGGGGATTAAGTTAATTCAAAAAAAAAAAAAAAGAAGAAGAATATCAGCTCATAACCTGTACATACCGATATATCGGATTCAATAAAAAAATACTTTAATTCAAGCTGACAAGACATTATTTTACCAATAAAATTATTTACCAATAAAAAAATATTTCTTTGATGTCAGCTAATAACCGAAACAAGGTGCCAATATAAGTGATGCATTAAAACAGTTCTTCAATATGGGCCAATAACTGATGCGTTACAGATATATGATACAATAAACAACTTCTCAAATATCAGCTGATAACTGATATATGTTACACAATAAATCTCTAATATCACCTGTACATTAAACCAGTATGTTTAGTGTAATTTCACAAAAAATCTAAATTCTGTTAAAACCAAAGATAAGAGAGGCATTACAGTGGAAAAAATAAAGCACACCTCTCTGCTGGCATGAGTGCCAGGGCTCGAGGCTGGTCCACCACTGAAGAGTTGACCAGAGTGCGTCTCAGGTCTCCATCAGAGTTGGACACCTGGAACACATACAGTGTGAGGATGAGTTTATGAATGAACAGCTGAACCTGATGATGCTGAAGAAGTTTTAACCTTTCATTACCTCAATCTTCTGTGCACCTGCATCCACCCAATAAAGCAATCGGCTGATGGGGTCAAACGACAGCGCCTCCACATTTTGCAAGTCCCTTTTGACAATCACTTCCTGTCCAGAGCTTCCATTCATACACAGTCTCTGTAAAAGAAGAACAAACAGACTTTTAAACCATAATCTGTCATTTTGACTGCTAGAGGGCGCACATTCATGACAAATGAATTGAGCAGGGCTTGACATTAACTTTTTTGATCACCAGCCACTGTGGCTAGTAACGTTATTAACCACTGGTCATTTTCACTAGCCATAATTTTGTTGTTGGGAAAATATATTTCATATGCATTAAATTGACTTTGACATGCTAAAATTAATTTAAATGTTGTGTTATGTCCTCCTGTTCATTTAACTTTTTTGTGTGTTGTGAATGACCTTGCATAATGAGCATTATTAAATGAATTTCATAGTGTCACGTAGCAATTAGTTTTTATTTCACATGACTTTTCAGGGCTCAACACAAAGCATTTACCAAATTTTTCTCAACCAACACCAAACTAATTATTTCCTGGCCATAATTTCTAAATAATGTGTCAAAGCAAGCAAAATATAGCTGCATACATACACTTTTTATTTAACAAAAATGTTCTTCAATACAACTGACATTTAAAAAATTGATCGTCATAAAACTATGCACAGTACTCTGTCCAGGTCAATGAGAACCAATCGCACTAGTTGCGTTTCCAGGCACAGTTGCTTCGCACAAGGTAACGGGAGTCTGTCTCTCACAGTGCAAATGTGAGGTGATCACCCTTCACTCGGTAGTTACCTGCTTTGATTTGCTTGCGCGCGAACAGTTATTTTAACAGTTAGTCATGCTGCTTCTGGATTCGAAGATCACATTTGCACACATATTGACAAACAACCATAAACTATAATTCCAATCTTTAGTGACTAGCCAGTACTGGCAATTTAAAAATGGTTTGCAACCAGCCAAATTGGCTAGTGGGCGTAACTGTCTTACCCACTAAAATTTGCTCACGGGTGTTAATGTCAAGCCCTGGAAATATGTATATAATATATTGCAAAAATTAAGACAGCAAAAGAAATAACAATGCTTTAATGTTATGTTTGTTTGTTTTTTGCACATTTATTATCACCTTTAATATATTGGTTATTTATTTATTTATTTTTTGGCATTATATTTGTAACAATTTATTTACAATTTACAGTTTTAAGTCAAATTTGTGCAAATATTTGGTTTCACATTAGATTCGTTTCCATCCACCTAATATTAAGTGCATTTTGTTTATGCGCATGAAAAAAAATTGTCGATGAAAATGCCAAGATGCACATAATTTATGGAAATGTGCATAAAAAAATGTATGCAGATAATTAAGTAGGATTAACTTTTTATTCAATAAGAAAAGATGTGCATAAACTGCGATGGAAAGACTTTTACCAAAACAAATTCCAGTATGCGCATTAAAAAAGTCATGTGATTTTGTTATAAGAGATCATGTGATAATAAATATTTGTGTGAATGGATAAACCAGCAGGCTGAGCACATTGTAAAACATCTGAAATGTTGTTTTGGTCATTCTAAAACGCCTTCGCCATTTCAGTATAAGTGTTATTATATTATTAATGACCTTCAGAACTGTCAAGACCGTCTGTGCTCGGCGTCTGACGCCTTCAAACACCACCACACGTTCATTGCGTGCCAGGATTGCCTTCTGAGGCGCAAGTCATTTATTAAATAAAGAAGAGATTAACGCAGCATCTCCTACTGCAGCAAAGTCCGCTTTTACTGTTAATATTTGGCACCAGTTAATCAGGAAAGGCGCTGTTGTTCACTTTGACTTGTTGGATGGAAACGCTGCTTTATCCGCACGTCTTTCATGCGATATTCTAGTTTTGTGCATAAATTTAATTCACATTTTTTGATGGAAACAGCTATTCACATGTAGCAATATTTACATTTTGATACTAAAAAAGTAAAAAAATATATATAAAAAATAAATGTTATTTACACCCTAAATGTATACTAACATTTTTAATTACTTCATTGCTGAAACTTTAGAGACTAACATTAAAGTGTCGAATTGAAGATGTACAATCATTTTAAGAGTTGCTTTTACCAGTTACCAACAGGTCATGCATCCATATATTATTGAAAGATGCTTATTCACCTGTATGGTGTCCAGCGAAATATCCGCCCAGTACAGGCAGTTCTTCTCATAATCAAAGTCCAGTGCCACAGCCTCGTGAAGACCCGTGAGAGGCAGCTGCTGGTCTGTGCCAGAGGCCAGGTCATAGCGGTGGATGGAGTTCCTCACAGCATACAGGATAAACTCATTACTCTCTAAAGAAACACACACACACACACACAAAAACAGCGGGTCTCGGTTAAGAATTAAAACAAGACTCACTCCAGAGAAAAACACACCTGAACACTCCATATGTCCTTGTTGAGCATTTAATTTTAAACTCATTGGCACTAAAAGAGAGTTGTTTCTCGCTAACCACCTCCACACTTCAGGGTAGACCTTTCATTTTCTGTTTCATTGCAAATTGTAAAAGAAACCTGATGGCCCCACTGAGAGTCACATCACTTTCTTCTCCCACTGGTTCAGACTGGAGCCTTTTGAAAGGGCTCCTTATTTATTCCCAGAACCCTCTAGTTGGAGAAGAGAGCCAATCAGCGTGAGCACTGAAGCGTGGTCAAGTGGCTGAGCGCCACAATGCCAGAGAGAAGAGCCAGTCTAGACAGAAGCGACTCTTTATGGGGCCTTTGATCACACTCCAAACTATCCTCATTTGATCTTCAGATGCTTCAATGTACAGCATTTCAATTAAATCTATATTAGGTGCAAGAGTAAAGGATCACAGCAGAGTGAATCTTGAAATCTTAGAATTTTTAAATTGTTAGGGAAAATGACATCTATATATTACTTCTGAACATGATTACAATATCATTAGCCATAACAAACCACTGCATTATAACTGTACTTTATTAGGTTCAGCTATGAAAAAAAGAACACGTGCCTTACTTTATGCAAAGCTGTACTTAAAACAGGTTAATGCAAAGCCTTGCCTTTAAGGCAAGTCATTACACTCGGCGGCCAACTTTAAAAGCCTCTCTGACAGTATGCTTGGGCATTCTGTTAGAATTGTGAAACATTGAATTCTCTAAAATTGCTTGCTACTGTAAGCTTATGATTAGATTTCATATTAGGAATCACATATAAAATTAAACAACAACTTTCTTTTTAGCTTCATTTCTAAACGTTTGAATCACACAAAATATGCAGAAACTCACATCTGCTCCGAGCCCCTCTCCATAGAATGTCAGTCTATTGTGATCAATGATTGGCTCCTGTACTAGAAGGCAGGGCTTCATTCACTATATTAACTGTTACACTTTTCGCTATTCAAAACTATACAAGTGACATGCCTTGTGTATTCTATAGTCTTTGGTTAATGTCAGTCAGCCTTTAAAAATGCTTAGGTCAAATATTTGATGATATGGTTAGGCTCATTCTACTTCAATAAATGACATTATAACACAAAATAATGTGTAACCTTAACTACAATAATAACTATCCTTCACCTGCACACGTAGGATTAAAAAGAACACAAATCTTCTCTAATATTATAAATGCTGTTACTGTTATTTTTGACCAATTCAATGCAAAAAAGTTGCTAAAAGTAAGCACGTGTTTAAAAATTCTCATTAAACAATATTTATTTTCTTCCAATTACATTTTCCAGAAATTTTTAAAACTTGAATTCAATTTATTTTCAATATGCAGTACTCTGATTTAACTATTGTTGAATCTTTTTTAGATTGTATTGCGCAATCTAAATAAAATTATACTTGGCTTGTTTATCCACCCTTACATTCCTCTATATTCCTCTTTTTCTGTGAACCATCTTATGTGTTTTTTTAATCTAAAACTAATAAATAATCTCTATTACTAAATAACGATGCTGACGTCATTTCATTACTAACATATATGACTGTTCTGTGAATGTGACTTCTCAACTTCCTCTTGCGTGCCATTGAATTGTGTTTTGTTACAGTACATGAAACAAAGAGAAATATGACTATGAAATATGAATATGACTATGTTTGTTGAGAAGAAGGTTTTCTACTGTACCTCCCACTGGACAGGGCAGGTTTTCTCCGTCCAGCCGAGCTTCAACATCTCCACCAGTGCAGCTGTCACCAGACACCTTCCTGTACCTAAAAAACCAGAGCAAACGCCAAACACACAACACATCTCACTTCAGAAAATCAGAAAAACTTCTAAACACTGACACTATGTGATGCTTTAATGAGATGCAAATGAATTCTCCTGCTTTCCTGTGGATTGTTGTTCTGATGCTTATTAATGTTTCAAGAAGTACCCAAGATTATTTGCTAAAACATTTGACTGAAGTGATTGTGAGAAAAACAGCCTAAAACAACCAAAAAATTAATAAATAAATAAAAATTAGCATAGAAAAAATATATACAGTTAAAGCCAGAATTATTAGTACATACAGTATATTTCAGTGAACTGGAGGTAAAGATTAAAATGCTAAATAAAAATTCTTGATATTACTTGGACTAAGATAATAGACTGGAATAAACCTTATTCTTGATATTCCGGAATAGACCCCTTAAAATTTAATGATATTGCAATAATTCGTGTTTTTTATAGGTCCCATGTTTTAGTTATTGCATTTGTGACAATCAAGGCAACATGTACAATGAAGAATGCACAGAATGGCAGATAGTCGAATATAAAAATCACTGAAATATTAATAACTTAATATTCCCAGTGAAATTTTTTGCAAGAAGTAGTTTGCCTTTTTTTCCTGAATATTTTTGTCATTCAAAGACTTCATTGTTTTCATCATCCCAGTATAGCGTTCCTAATATATTGATGGTTTAAATAAACTTGTTGGGTCATTGAGCAAATATTGTGAAAAAATCTAATTCGAGACATCACTTTTTGCCTGTATACATGAATTAAAAAGCTAAATGATTCTCCAGAATCATTCAAAACACTGATTAATTTAAAATCTAAAGCCTGTGTGTTCATTTTGTGTGTCACAAGTTTTTGTCACAATTTTAGCTTATTAACATCAGAACTATCACTGTCACTCAAAATATAACATACAGTATGATAAAAATAAATCAAAAAGTTGTGTTCACACTTTGCTTACCAAATTATAAAGCACATCAAATTCACAGCTGCTCTGAACATATTGTGCATCCCTAAATAAAAGGAACTAACATCACTTCCCCATTTAATTATAATTAACCTCATTTCCTTCAGCTCAACTGACTGAGCAAGAGATCCTTCCAGATAAATTCGGTTCAAGTCCATGTTCTAAATAAATCTCCTGTCGACAGCAGATAATGAGAGGAGAGATGCATGGTGACACAGCAGTAGCAGATCTAATAATGCTCCTGGGCGGATGCTCACGGTGAAGGATAATAATCTGGATCCTGGAGAACAATGAGTCGATACAATTCACCCTCTTGGTATTTTTTGGTTGATTTCAGCATTAAATGGCAACCAATTTGATTTGGATTCACAAACAGAAGACAACTCTTTAAAGTGACCTCTACAGTATACAATAATACTATTTGGAGTTCAAATGAAATTAACGAATTCTTGATAATTTTTTTTTTTCCCACTGAAGCTAAGCAGGGTTGTCCTCTGTCTGTACCTAGATGGGAGACCACATGGGAAAGCTAGGGTGCTGCTGGAAGGGCTGTTAGTGGGACCATCAAGGAGCACTCAACCTGTGGTCTGTGTGGGTCCTAATGCCCCAGTATAGTGAAGGGGACTTTATACTGCTCAGTGAGCACCGTCTTTCAGATTAGACATTAAACCGAGGTCCTGACTCTCTGTGGCCATTAAAAAACTTAGGATGCACACTGGTGGTGGATGTGGAGATCTATATCAACGCTATATAAATAAATCACTATATAAATGAATCGCTATATAAATGAAGCGCTATATAAATGTAAGGAATTATTATTATACATTTTTTTAAAGCTTCAGTCTGTAATGCTGAGTTTACATTCAGATATAATCTGAAAAACTAAGAAACATTTCTGTCGCTTTTCGATCGTTAATCATTTAAAAATGTTTTAAAATTATACAAGTTATTGTATATAAAACTGTAAAATAAACTTATAACATGTTTAATTTAGAAGACAAACTATTTTTCACAAATAAATAAACATTTAATACAAATATATAAGGAAGTAGACACACACTAAAAGAGCACTCAGTATTCTGGGAAGTTTGTTTGCATAAGCAAACATCTTGTTCAAATAAAGTACATATAATACTCATTTTACATACAGCACACAGATAAAATATATGAATATGCATATGAAATTTCATAAAAAGCAGAATTATTTAAAAATTCAAAGGTTTATGAATTACACATCTTTAGTGAACCTAAACTGAATTCCTTTCAACATCATGTGATCATACAGGATACAAAAACATGCTTTTTAAGATCTCATGACTGGATCTGACTAAGTCTGCAAGGTTTGTGAAATTAAATGTTTATTGTTAAACTGTTAAAGTCCATCAAAAATTTGTTTAAATGATGTGTGTACTTATTAATTGCCGACAGTATTATTTGTAAGTATTATTTGCCAATATTATTCAACAATGCAATCGTAGTAATAATTTTTGTATACATATTAATTACTCTGTTAAATAGTTCTATCTGACCACACTGTCAAAATAAAAGTCCTTTAACTATAAACTAGTGCTACGGTGGCATAACTTTGTTTATTTACAGCAGTTTTGTTCTATGCAACAGAAACGTGGCATAAAGAAGCTTTTACAATTACATATCCAAATGTTTTCTATTAACACGTCATAACAGTCTTGTGAAAAGGGTCCAAAAAAATTGCTAAGTTTAATCATTTGTCTACATGTATATGAGACAAAGATGCAAAAAAAGAACAGCAGCACAATTTCTTTTTTTGTGAAAACTCACCAGTACCACACAAATTAGAAAACATAATTATAAGCTTACTAATGTGAATCATGCTGAGGTAAGTAGATGTTTTGAAAACAGCTTGTTTATGTAGTTGCTCAAAATGATTCTGGATCATGTTTAAGAGCAAAAACGAATCAAAAAAATTCTAGAAAACAAAATCAAGTAAATTTAAGCAGCATTCTCACCCTTTGCTGCGGTGATAAGTGGTGCCCACCGGACATGGCACTGGCGGGGCGTAGAGGTTTCCAGAAAACTCAGGATCAGGCACACACACCTCGAGAGACAGATCCTCGCTCAGCTTAAACCCATAGTCACTGGAGTCAGACAGAGATGACATAACAAAACAGTGAATATTGATTGTGCATTCAGATGAAACATGAGAAGACAGAACTCATTTCAGCTCATACCATTCATAATCCTGACGTGTGCAGGAGCAGTTGGACAGAGAGATGGGCCTGTCAAAGTCCTCGCCATTAAAGCAGGTGGCGTGAGGAGAGCGGCGCTTGTACACCATTTCCCTGCCGAGCAGACAGCCATTGCCCCTCTCGTCCGAGGGAGACCACAGTTTATAGTCGCCCTCTGAGCACGGCACGCCTAAACATACAAAAAAGCAGATGTATATTTTAAAGGGGACCTGCTATGCAAAATCACTTTTATAAGGTGTCTTAACACAGTTGTGTGGTAAGAGTGAGTGAAAATACCCAGCTAGGGCTGGGCGATATTGCAAGAAAAATTATAAAAATGATCACGATTCATATCATTCGGTACCGATAATTATCTATTATATGTATTTTACAATACATTTAGGAATATTAGGATGACTGAGGTGCACAAGAAACCAAAAAGCCACTCTGGCGACATCCTTACATCCTTTTTATTTACAATGTCCTCACTGCTGCTATACGGCACTCATTTTCGTAAGTGTTGTTGTTTTGACCAGAAGTGACAAGTGATGAGCTTTGCACTCGCGCTTCCCTGGCATCTCTCGTAACTAAGCGATCATTACGCGTTTTCTCAGAGGAAGACAAATGGACAAATCATTGCTGCAGCTCTGATGCACGTTTATGGAGAAAAGTAAAAAGCACTGCAGTGTTTAGATGCTCTGTGTTTGTCTGAGGAATATTGTCTATCATTATTACTGAAATATGTATATTCCATCCAATGTGTGAAACGGACTGGTTAGTTATACTTAAAGAAATCATGTGGCACAAACCTCATTCGGAAAAGTTCAGATGTTTTTCAACTAGGTGTACCTGGAAAATGTGCGCGTTGTGCACATCAAGTGCCTCCATTGGAAATGACAAACACACCCTAAGCTTATTGGCATTCCTTTCAAGGTGTGCACTCAGCAGCCACATTTTAATAAAACTATATAGCCGTCATATCGAATATAGTATATGTAGTATATAGCCGTCATTGTTATATCGTTATTGACAATGGTGTTCGGTTAATAAATACTGATACCAATTTTATCGCCCAGCTCTATAGTCTGTCTTTATTTTTTATAATTACACAAAAACAGTCTGCAGAAACCCTTTGATTGACATTCTCCCTTTGTACATGTCATCAGAGGGGGAAAGCCCCGCCCATTAATGACAAATCCCTCATTAGCATAAACAGCCCTGTGTGAGAAGCAAATGTTGATGTTCTCAAATCTAGTCAATAATGCACTTTCATGCTACCAGACTTGAAGGAAAGGAAATAAACAATATATTATTACTTACATAATCTATATTTTGAAAGCATAATAAATGAAAAGGTACACATAGAATATTCCATAAAAATTCTGAAAAAGTCAAAACATTCACATGGACGTAGACCCTTCCTCATCATAGAGTGAAAAAGAGATGGGTTTTAAACACCAGATGTAAATTCAAATGCGTCTTTTGTCTATCTTCGTCAACCAATCACCATTGCTAAGGTGTTTGCAGTGTGGTTGTTCAGAGTGTTTTGGTTTGTGCACCAATTAGAATGATCAGTTCTCTTACCGAGCACATCACTAGCATTGACCTGGACGATGAGCCAGCTGTGCTTCTGGTCAGCATACGAGCCAAAGATGGTGAAGATGGTGCTCTTCTCACCCGGTTCAGTCAGCAGTTGGTAAACATACACCTCCTGTTTAGAGAACTGGAACTCCTTCCAGGTCTCGCCCTCATTAGTACTGTACCTGAGCCGCCAAAATACAAGACACATATCTCAGTAACATCAGACAACATGTCTACTAAAAGCAAAGCGACATTAGATCCTTGAACGGTTACTGACTTGAGTGTTTTGCTGGACCCGCCCTGTGCGATAGCCATCAGGATCCCTCCATGATCTCCCCAGGTGTAGAAATGAGGACCAGCCAGAGCCTGAACAACACACATATCCATTACATGGATTCACAAAGGCTGCTTTGCCTTTTGTAGCATGCAGTAGTGTTGTATACCACTTTAATAACAAAGAGGAACAAATGGAATAAGCAACTAGTGTCCAATGTACAATAATTCATGACTAAAAAAGATGTTTATATAAGAGGGATGTCGACACTAAGCCAGATACATTTGAAAAAGCATCTTTTTTTTCTCTTTGTTTTGACCTCCCACCCACACAGAAGCAGCGCTTTTTGTCCTGCGCATACTGAGCTTTTTAAAGAAACTATTTCCCAACTGGATTAGTCTGAAACTGGACTGTGAAACTGAAAATCTTTGAAAATTATGATTCATGTTCACCTATGTTTCGTTTTAATGCAATTATTATTGAGTATTGTTAACGATAGTTACTTTGTACATTCTTCACACGCATTACACAGTGGCAAAGATAACATTTTAACTAGCAATTGCTGTATTTGTGGCAAAATGTGATGGCAAATATGAAATGGTGGCAAGGAATAGTATGGTAAAGTCTAGATCGGACACTTTGCTGGCTGGAAGTGCGATATGCGCATTAATATAGCAGCATTTTTTATGACACTGTATAACAATAATTCATATTTTACAGTACAGTGACGGTTGGGTTTAGAGTTGGGTTAGACTATGGAGTCAATCTAGGGCCATATATACTTGCAAAATTAAACAAAGTTTTGCAAACAAAAAATAAACTATTGAGCAAAAAAAAAAATTAAACAATGCAAATCACAAAATTAAATCACAAAGGGAAAATTGAGTTGAGAAATAAAAATTTTACAAACAAAACTAAAAAACGGCAAATAAAAATCAAGTAGTGCAAATAAAAAAAATATATGCAGTTTTTAAAAAAAGTATATGTATATTTCAAGTCAATCGCAAAGCTCATTTTGATTTGCTTTTTAGTCAACCATGAGTTTGCGATGCTGGTTTTTTGCACTTCATATTTGACAAAGGCAGAGTCACGAAAACTGGGGCGGGTAGGGCATGCCCGGACCTGCCTCCTATGAAGCGATATCATTATTTGGAGACATCGTGACACAAAGGAAATCAGCCATGAATCGCTGTAAAAAATCTAATTGAGATTAAGTAAAATACCAGAATCCTTTTTTTCTGGTTGTTTAAATTATCAAGTAGTAAAATAAGCAAATTAAACCTTTCATTAAAATGAGGATTGCAATTGACTTGAGATGTTTTGTAAAGGCAATACTGAAAAAAATTAAGCAAATATATATATATATATATATATATATATATATATATATATATATATATATATATATATATATATATATTGTAAAAATTGCAAATATTAAATTATTTTTTGCACTACTTTTTTTATTTGCAGTCCTTTATTTTTGTTTGCAAAATTACTATCTATTTTTCAAAACTCAATTTTCCCTCTGCGTTTTTTTGAGATTTGCATTATTTTTCACAATTTTTTGCTCAGTATTTAATTTTTTTTGCAAAATATTTTTTTATGTTGCACGTATACAGTATATTGCCCTCGATTGACTCCATAGTATATGTAAAAAAAAATACTATTTATTGGGAAATTTAATAGATGGCATAATAACATGATGGCTGGGTTTAGGGTTGGGGTAGGGGTAGACGTTAATAAAATACAGTAAATGGGAAATTTAATAAATAATATAAATAATTTTTGTTAACTTTCAACCGCAATCATATCTGATCTAGCAACAACCGAATAACTTGGACAAACAGTAAAAGCTGAAATATATTTATATTTTCCCTAGGAGTCAAGTCCAGAAAAATTTAAAAACATGCTAAAAAGTATTTGTAAACAAAAAAAAAAAAAAGAAAAAGAAAAAAACTAAATATTATTGTAAAAAAATTTCAAAAATTTAATATGAAAATGTTAAAAAAAAAAAAAACAATTTCTCACCTCTCTCCATCGGACCCCTGCACTACTGGACACATACACATTAGGTTTATTGGCCATATTCTTTCCCACAGATCCTGTGCAGAAGAAACAGAAAGAGAAAAAGATGATACAGTAATCAATATATACACTGCATCTGGTGTCACGTCTCATGAGCCTCAATTATGACTGATATCTGGCATTCAATTCAAAAGTAAATGGCGTATTTATGTTCAGTAATGTAGGGTCGTGTGTCAGTATATATGGAAGGTTTATCAATGTTTGTTATAATCAACTTCCCACAAGGTTTGTTCTGATGTCATCTATACTTCATGTGCACTTTTCTTATTCTTTGGGTGACTATTTATGCAGACATCACAGTTAGGAGAGCTTGTTTCACCAGGGACTCCTCTAATGAAAGAAACGAGATTCCAAAGTTTGCTGCTGACCTTCGCTGGTTGGATTTATATTTGTGGCAAAGTTGTTTTGTTTGCGGTCAGAGATGTTCACATCTGTTTTATTTGGAGAGACTATCTGATCTGTATGAACAAAGACTCGATTTAATAAGTCCTCTTTTTTATGTTTTATATATATGAAAAAGTTGTAGAATATACAATTTTACACGAGTTACAAAGTGCATCAGACAACACAATACTAGTAGTGCAAGTACAAAAGGATTATTTTTTTATTTTATTTTTTTCCTTAATTCCTTCAATAGCTCCTCACTCTCATGTCATTTTAATCCCTGGGACCTTTATTCATATTTAAAACATTAAATAGATAAATAAATTAATACATTTTGGAACATTGGAAATGAAGATACTTTAGCTGAAATCCGAGAGCTCTCTCATCCTCCAACTCAGTCAAAAAATTATATAAGATTCGGTACTCCACCAAAGGTTGCAGTCAAAATTTCATTTTATTTGGCAGCCAGTGTTGACGTATATAAAACAAATGGATCCAAATTTAATATTTTCAGTTTGACCATTGTTTATTTGTTTCTCACATTTTTTCCCCTCCCTTCATTTTATTTGACTACATTTTAATTTCTATCTAAATTATTTTATTTCTTTATTTTACATTTGCTAAGCTTATTGTGACTCTTGTGAATGTTGTGTGCGTATATATGTACAATAGATGAGTGAACATATAATGGAACTTTTATCTATTTGTATTGTATGTATGTATATATTATGACACAATGTAAAACAGATTAAAAATAGGCACAACATATTGTTTAGAAATGTTGCTGTGGGGTGGGGGGCTCTTTTGGAGCAAAGATAATTTGTCTCTGTTTTTCAAATACTTTTGAAATTGATGCTTTATTGCCCAAACTGTTAATCAAAAGATTTGAACAAAAAAAAATTATATGTGTGGTTCAACTGTTATTACTCGAAGCTCCGAAAACACTTTTGTGCACAAAAAAATAAAACTAAAGTAAATACAACCTTTTTTGCCTATATATTCTCTCCTCTGTCAGCTCGTCAGAATGCGCATTTACAACATGTGGTATACTGTCTTAAGAGTCTGCAGTGCAACACACAAACATTATATTTCCCATTGTAAACACACATTCTAATCTGATATGAGAGACATTTGCAAAACAAAGTTGGTTTTACACAAACATGTTCTTGGAGTTTCATAGGATTACAGTTGAACCATGTCACATGGACTGCTTTGAAAACGTTTTTGCTTTCTTTTCTGGATTTTGAACACCTCTGGACCATTGCGTTGGAGGATGAGGAAACTCTCGAATTTCATCTTAAACATCTTAATATTAGTGAATGAATAATTTCTGGAACGAAACCAGAAAATAAAAAAGAACATGATGTTACAAAGCGATTATAGCGATAAAAATATATATAAAATTTCTTAAGGGTATTTAATTATTTGTGCAATATAATGTTATGGGTCAACCATGGATAAAAAAAACAAACAAACATGCAGCTACGAACGAAAATAGTATGAAACATCACTATTTAGTTTACTAACACCACAGAAATTCAGTTCACTCTGTCCAGTTTTCATCTACATAATAATATCATTTATTTTTGTGCACTGCTTACATCAGAACTATTGTTGTCCTTTCCTCTCCCACATGTGTTTTTCTGCTGCGTCACTGCAGGTGGGTTAGTCATTAATTAATGCGAGCGGTAATGAACTTCGTTTACATTCATCTCCCTAAAAGAGATATGCAGCATTTAACACGTTTTATGCAATGAGAACAATGTTGAGGTGGCGTGACCGCTCTCGGCTGGCTAAGTCAATGAGTGCGAGGGTGTGTTTGTATGTGATAATTAGCCAGTGGGTGAAGTGCAAATAATTAGCACATCTGCGCTGGAGCGATAGCAGGCGAAGCGGCCAGACATTTTCACAAGACTCCTGCGCCTCTCGTCTTCATGCATGCACATTATCTGATAATCATTTAATTAAAGGTCTGGCTGCGGTTGGCAGAGGAAGAGAGAGCTGTACGAGAGGGAGCAAGTGCTTTCCTATGAGAGCAAAATCGATGTTTTCCAGCAGGCATGAACTCAAGAAGTCAGCCTCGTGCACTTGAGCTCCCACTGTTTACCATGTTCTCTGAAGGGACCCGGGTTAATAAGAGCGAAGCAGCACAAACAGGAAAGCGCAGAACTTGCAGCTAATTTGCTCGTATTTCCTCTCTCTCATGCATATAGTGTAGGTGAGAGAGGTGTTTAACCGCAGAGCAGAGAGGCGGTCTCGTGGCCCACCTGTCGCCATGATGAGACCAGGTGCAGACTCTTTGGACAGAATAGGGATCCTGCGCAGCTGAATATTCAACAGCTGACTCCATCGCTGAGCCAAGTGAAGGGAACAGCCACTGTTCAGCTGATAGACAGAGAGAAAGAGAGTATACATGAAGATAAGAAGAGCACAACAGGAAAAAAGACTTCTTACTATATTTGCAAACTTCACCAACTTCATCTCCGGCTTACATTTTACAAACAAAAAACCACAGCTTCATAACCACATGAAAAAATAGAGCACAGAGTGAACAGTCTACACACACAATAGAGACGAGCACACTAATTGTTTAGTGATTTTTTTTTATTCTTTAAAAATATTTAAAAATATTAATTAATTTACTATAGTGTTATATGAAAGTCACATCATATAAAAGTCATTAAACATTTTTTGAAAACGCTGTTTATCTGTTAAGTTAAATCTTTAGAAAATGTAAAAATATATGTACAGTTAAAAACAATGATTTGCCCTCTTGTCATATTTTATTCTTTTACAAAAGTTATCCATGGGATATTTAAAATAGAAAGGATTTTTTCACAGCAATTTCTATATTTTATTCTATTCAACTTTTACAATATTTTGGAGAAAGTCTTATTTCTTTTAGCTTCATTGGAATTAAATCAGTTAAATAAACTCAATGTCAATACTATTAGCTCCTTTAAATTGATAATTCACACAAAACTGAAAATTCTGTCATCATTTACTTTCCCCTCACCTGTTCCAAACATGTTTGACTTTCTTTCTTCTGTTAAACACAAAATAAAGATATTGTAAAGAAACCTAAAGCCTGTAACCATGGACTTCTATAGTATTTGTTTTTTCCTACTAAGGAAAAAGTTAACTACTTAAACTATCCCTTTAAGAAATACATAATTTTCTTTGGGCTACAGAACAAAGCACTCTATATATATATATATATATATATATATATATATATATATATATTAAGGGTGGAGCCGAACCCGAATACGGTATTCGGAAAGGCACGAATAGCGTGTTTTTACGAATACTTGATTCGAACAAATACTTGAAAAATTATTTGTATTCGGGAGCAAGAAAAACACTATATCAAAAAGCAGCGTTTCCTCATAGCGTTTCCTCATGAGACCACCGTGCATGCCCGCGTGAGTGTGAGAGAGAGAGAGAGAGAGAGAGAGAGAGAGAGAGAGAGAGAGAGAGAGAGAGAGAGAGAGAGAGAGAGAGAGAGAGAGAGAGACACACACACACACACACACACACACACACACACACGCTCAGTGCAAAACGCACCAAAGCCCGAAACTGAAAGCGAGACGTGACTTTTAAGGGGTTGTTTCATATGGATTTATTAATCATTCTTGCTGTTCAGTGATCGCAAACTGCCGTCGTTTATTAAAGACGCAGACCCCTCACTGCACGTCAGCTGCGCGCCTTCAGCAGACCTCCTCATTCCTGCAGCACGAGAGCTTTATGATCGTTTATGCGCGCCAAAAGTGGCGGATCTGTCCGGTAAAATATCTGACTGCGTGTCACCGCATCCCTAAGGACTGTTTGGCGAAATATTTGACTGCATGTCACTGCATAACAAACGACTGAAAGGATATAACTAGAGAACTCTCCACTGTTCTACTGGGTGATAGCGTATGGCAAGCTGTTTTAGCATTTAAACCTTGTTCAGACTATCCATAAATATATTTAGAGATATCTCTAATTATATTTTGACTTGTCATAATTATAATTCGACTAGTCAGATTGGAAATATCTGCAAATATATTATGACTGACTAGTCATATTCCTCCATTGACTTCCATTGAAAAATATTTGCAGATATCTAAATAAACAAACAAACAAACTTTGTGTCTGTTTTGTGGCTGGCAGATGACAATAGCAGGGCTGTATCTTTTAGTATTATATAGAATACTTTTGTTCTGCCAGATCTCCCAGGCAGGGTTTTATTTAGATTTATTTAGTTAATATTAGTTTTTGGAATTATGTCTATTGGAAAGAAGTTCTTTCAGAAGAAGAACAGTTTTTTGAAGTATTATTTGTTTTTAATCTGTCTATTCAGTGTCCTTCAACAAGAACGGTGGTGGTGGGGTTCATAATATTCACAATGGTATTTTATTAGTTGTTGGTTTAACCATGGATGAGATAATGGCTTCTATGTTATTTTCTTTTCAATGACATTTCTTATCACATGTTCAAAAACAACAGCCAATATTGCATATCTATAATTTATATAATGGGTATAATTAAACAATACTTTCACTATAACGTAAATTAGAAGTGCAATAGAAAAAATATATATTTTTGCGCCATTTTGAATTTTACTCAAATACAAATACAAATACTTTTCCCCCCTCAACAAATACAAATACAAATACAAATACCGGCTGCTCCGCACATCCCTAATATATATATATATATATATATATATATATATATATATATATATATATATATATATATATATATATATATATATATATATATATATGATGTACTATTATCATGTCAAATACAAAAAAAATAGCAGCTTTTCAAACAATTGTGTTTTAAACGTGTTGAAAAAGAAGACATTAAACAGCACTTGAGAAAAAAAAATGTTTCAAATAATTTTACCAGAGGTGATTCATTAAATAAATTTTGACTTCAACTATATGTATGTACAGTGGGGGAAATAACTACTGAACACATCATGTTTTTCCTGGCAGTAATATTTCTAAAGTCTAAAGGCATTTTTGGTGATGGCAGCTTAAAGAATACTCCCAGTGTGTGTTTTTTCAAAGACTTCAACAGAGTGTAAAAATCTTGATGGTTCTGTGGGTCTCTTCTATCAAATCTGATCTTTATTTTGTATTTTCTATAGGATTCAAATCAGGTGATTGGCTGGGCCATTCTACAGCTTGATTTTCTTTCTCTGAAACAATTTGAAAGTTTACCTGGCTGTGTTTTGGATCATTGTCTTGCTGAAATGTCCACCCTGGTTTCATTCGATGTCTGGGCTTTCACTGCCTTTCTACAGCTCCCTTTCTTCATGTGTTCGATTTTTTTTTCTTTTGTCATTTCATTACGCACAACTGAAAGGTGCAGTAGGCGCACGCGATAAAAAACATGCTGAATCTAAACTTTTTAAAAACCTGAATCAATATTGGAGTTACCTTTGCATGCTGGAGAAAGGATTATACCATGTCTAAAGTATTTCTCTTAGACAGGTAATGTTCTGTTTTAAAACTGTTTTAGCCTCACACAAAGCTGATGTAACGTTAGATGTTGTTGTTACAAATGGGTTATATCTACTAAAATCTTTCAAAGAAAGACTGATAAGACTATTTTCAGTTTCATAAGGGACCTTTTACAGCATCGATAATGTAGATTTTAATTAGTTTAACAACAAAACACAAGTAAATAGCACTATTCCACCTAGTCTCTACCTATATTGTTATATTGTTGCATGCTGCCAGACAAGGACTAGTTGCTTTTAACACATGAGAGAGGGTTCTTTTGCGGTGCTCCTGTTTCAGGAGGCGTGGCTCTAGAAGGCAGGAGAGGGACTGTGAGTCAGAGATTTATGCTAAGTTGTTAGCATTGTGGAAGATCACCTACTGCACCTTTAATTTGTAAACTAATTAGATTTGTTTTCTTTACATATATGGATTTATTCAGTTATTATAAACATCTAGTGGAAATTTCAAGTCAACAGCACATTTAGAAATATGTTTTCTAAGAAAAACGATGACATGTTGAATTATTTCCCATAATGTAACTATGCATCAAGAAAATTTAAATTCAATTTGAAAAGGCAAATCTCTGCATACCTACTTATCAGAAGTGCTGTAATGATCACTCATGTACAGTGTAATCTGTTACAGTGGCATTTTGCTTACTACTGTAGCTTGTGATCCGAATGGCTAAAAGAGCACAGAGCATCTTACGCCTATAGTTGCAGTGCCAGAAATTTTAAACCCTTTAAAGTACAGACTCTCCATAAAGACTGCCTATGCACTACAACAGCTCAGTGGGACAAAAAAAAAAACTTTTATAAAACTATAATAAAATAAATAAAATTATAACAAAGCCCCCCAGATCAATTGGCTAATTTCTCCAATTCACACAAGGTGACCGATGATCCTAATATACCTGGCAGTCTATAGTTCCTCCGAGACTGTCAGCCGCTGGAGGTTGAAGAAGCTCCCAGGTTCCTCCTTTATCAAATGTGATGACGGACCTCATGTTGTCTTCACTGACGGATCCATTGATCAAAGTGGCCACAAACACACCTCTGAGCCCCTCGACCCGATGCAAGTCTGCGAATGGCTCATTGGCGAAGTACCTTTCAAACACAAAAGCACACAAAATCAGCTTTCACATGCCATTTACAATAGCCAAGAGAGGTGCTGTATGAAAATGCCAATGTTCGCGAGCCAAGCGCATCTCATCTGCATTGCGCACTGCAGTAATTGCGTCTGTGCTCTCAGGCGGCCGTGCTGAGCTCAGTGGTTTGGCTGTGGGTGAAATCCCGCTCTGCCGCAGAGTAAAACAATAGTATGTCCTTGGAAAAGCGTGGAGGAATGATGGATTGCTTTTGTACTGACAGTGTGAGCGGAGGGAGCGGTGGGCGAAGACATAGTTCCTGCATTATAGAGACGAGACCTCGCTAACCTGCTTAAGGGTTGAAGCTTGCAGAGCCAAATATGGATTTAAAGCACTGACGGGGGGCTGTCGCGAAACTGAGATGGGTTCAAGCAAAGGTGACGAGGCCAAACTCGGTGTAAGACGGAGGTGTAATGTGAATTATTGAAGTGAGACGCATTTCAGGCTCAAGTCTGGTTGTTGGTTGTTAATATTTATTTAAGATTTAAAAACCCTTTCCTCACTTAGATTAGGCTACGTTGTTTTTGTGGAGGAACATTATTGAATCCACTGGCTTTAGCGGATTCCTGCGCTCAGGATGATGCGTCCAGCAGTACCGAAGACCCTTTCACTGACTGCTGCGGCTACAGGCCGAGATGCAGAGTTCTGATCTGGCTAATTTTTCAAGTTTTGGGATTGTTTGTTCATCTTCTACCAGCCAAGAACATCCATTTAATTTTCCATGACAGCAGTTTCAATGCAGTGAGTGACCTCATCTTTTTACCTGTCAGATTGCTGTTTAGTGCTCTATCGTAATGTACAGTGTATGAGCGACCACCGAAGTACCTTGGCGGCTAGAATGACCGTTCCTTCTAACCTGGTGACTGGCTTGACCGCAGTCAAAATTAGTTCTTTTTGATTACTCCGTCATCATTTGTTTCACCTTTGCAGGGATGGATTTTAATGTTGTAACAAACAGTTTGATTACTTTCTCGCACTAATCGAAATGCATCACATGACTGTTCATTTACCTAATGCGCAAGCCAAGCCCGGCCAGACCCGACCCTGTCTAAAATTATAGGAATTAAACCCGAACCCACCCGAACCCGTCAGGTCCAGCCGGGTCCCAACCGAAATCGAAACCAGCTAGACTAGGACCCTGAGAATGACACAGCATGCTGCAAACACAAACACCAGGACGAGAGTGCACATCACAAGGATGCTTGGACCCCGCGCGCCCGTGTCAAGTGGGAGTGTGCTTGGCCCGAGTGCGGCCGAGACAGCGCTCGTACAAAGACGAACACAATGACAAAAAAATGAGTGCTCAACCCGAGAATACTCGAACCAAGCACAACATACTAGACAAGACAGAACTAGTGTCTGGACTCTGCCACCCAAACAAGAACTAACAAGACCGAAGTGACAGATTCCTGACATTGATTCACATACCCAGTAAAAGGGTATGACAGACAAAGGAGAGTCCCTCCAGGGGCATGGTTGAGAACCATAAACTAGTGTATAATTAACATGTAATGTATTTTTACATATTTAATAACTTTGGATAACGTTACCCTTTGTGTATTACTCCGCCCAAATACAGCCAGCAACAAGCAGACACTACAGTTTGACAAATAATACTTAATAATTAATAATAATAAAATATACTTTTGAGGCTTTTTTAGTTGAGAATGTAGTTGTTTAGATTGCAACTATGCAGTTTATTTGCAAGAATAGTGCCTATTTAAAATATTCACAGTTTCTGAGAGACAGCTCGTCGACGACAGTTGATGTTTTCTATCCACAAGATGGTGACAGAACAGTATAACAAGCCCTTATGCTTAGAAGATATAACAGATTTCTAACTACAGCAGATCAAATCAATATTAAACTGGTAAGCACACCTGCCAACATTTCCGTTTTTCATGGGAGTATCCTGTTTTTCAGACCAGTCTCCCACAAACATCCTGTCTTTATTTCCTTCTAAAAAAAACTCCCGTAATTTCACCCACCCCCGACTTTGGTACATTCTGTAAACACCCCTGGGTTGCCAACTTTGGTACAATACCCGATCGAAGCGGCCGCCCAAAACCCTCTGCATCCTGTTCTCAACCTCACCCCTGAACACCCCCTCCCCCCAGTCTCCCGGGTTTTCAGAGACATGTTGAGAGGTTAGATGATCTCTCTTTGTGTATGTTGTAGGGCTGCATTTATACCTATTTGCTCGCATATCAGAATTGTGTGTTGTGTTGGCAGATTGAAATAAGCACAGTCTGCACTTGTTTAGCGTTTTTCCTCATCACAAACCCAACAGCAGTCTGGTAACGTTAGTGGATTCGTTGTTATTTTTGCGGTTAATTATTGTGAAATCCCGACTGCAACAGAGAAATACTGTAGACTGTAACACCGTAAGAAGATATCTCTGTAGATGGATGGCATTTCATGCCACATTCAGCCTTATAATCTTAAAGTGTAAGCAAAATCAGCAGTTTTGTCATCACTTTGGACAGAGTCATTCAAACATTAGCTCTAAAGGGATGTTGGGGAATTAGTAATGGCTTCTGCTGTTTTGAAGTCAGCTGCAGATTTGAATGAATGTGGGAAGAAAGTAGTTCCTAATAAAAAGGGGATTTTTAGACTCTTTGTGTTTGATTTTCTTATTTATACAGAGGATTGTGATGTTGAACTGTTGTATTGCTCATATATATATATATATATATATATATATATATTTATACAACAGTTCTGTCTGGTTCTCAAGTCTGATTGGCTGATAGCCGTGCGATATTCTGCAATATCAGAACTCCTACAGCCTCTTTACCCTTTGTGTATCCGCTTGTTAAGTGTGACGTCACGCGAAGCCGCTTCCGGGTCCAAACGCTCTATTCAACTGAATGGGGAGACTTATGAAATGGTAATAATAAACGTTTACAAAGCGATTTAAGGCTTTCGAAAATCACAATCGCAGTATATATGTCCATGCCTAATATCCAATGGCCAGAAAGTGATTATTTTTTTATAAATTGTTAAATTTTTGGTATTTGTTATGCAGCAAGCCCAGAGATTGTTGTGTACACTATGATTCTATATAAAATTAACTTTAATGTTTGATAGGAATAAAACGTGATCATAAACAAATGAATTCTCCACTCAAATGAGTGGCGGCTTAGACCCGGAAACAGTATTACATACGTCACAAACACGTCACCACTTAACAAGCGGATTAGTCTGCCCACAAACAGCCATCAAAAAGCAGACACTACAGATCTAAAGTTAAAAAGATGCACGTTCAACTGTTTAACTGTCAGCTTATGATTTGAATCTGGAATAAAGTAGTTCCTCATACAAAAGGGTTTTTGAGACTCTCCATGTTTGATTTTGTTTTTATATACACAATTATGCCGTCAAACTGTTGTATAAATGCAATATCACACTCGTAGCAGTGCAATATGGCTGTATATCGGCACTGGTGGGGGCACAACCAAGCGGCAACCTCCCACTCTCCCTCATGAAGCCAATACGGAAGTAACTAAAACTGCAATTCATCCGAAATTCCGCTAGTCCTGGCCGCTCCTGGCTCCAAAACAGAGCAAATTTCAATTGAGCCCACTGTTAGAATGGCCAACTTTACAGCAGTGAAAAAGGTGTTTACAGCCTTGTACAAAAAAAGATTTTGGTTAATACAGCTAATATTACCCTTCATGACAACTGTGAGGGGGGTGAATTTTTTTAGAACTCATCCGTTTCCTTTATATTAGGTTATATTAAGTTTGCGTAATTAAGGGCGTGGCCACTTGAGTGACAGCTAGGTCTCGTTGGTCGCCGTCACGTCACCTCAGCTGAATCCTGCAGATTAGCCACTGAACTCGGCATGTTTATTATATTTCTGTGATGTTTCATGTGGCTTTACACAGTCAACTGCCTTTCGACTTGTTTCCTACAATTATTAGATGGCATGGCATGCTGAGAGCATTTAATTGAGCTCACAAACCATTCACGTGGCCTCCGTTTCCCATGTGAGTAAAGTTATATACTTATATACCATCTCTATACATGTATTTGCTTTATTTAAGGTCATTTATCGTTTAAATTTATATTTAGAGCTGTAATGCACTCCAGAATCTGTCAAATTGATTAGCTGTAGGCTCTAGAACAGTCATCTGAAGCGTTGTCATACAGTGTTATGCTGGATTTCATCAATAGTCTTACATTAACTAACACAGACTATATCTGAAGTGTTTGGAAGTAATTCGCGTTTTCCTCCTGATGAAAAACGTCATAAGAACAATGTTTAGTGGCTCAAAACACTTTATTGATATAGTATACAACCAAGCACAAGTGGTCAGAATACAAACGAGTCACAGGTGATAAAGTATTAAGCGTTCTCCCAAAGCAAAGTGTGTCTGAACCAGGTCCAAGCAAAATGCCTGCAGGTGTCTGTAGCTCCGCTCACTCTCCGCCTCTTTGCCCTTGTTTGGTATCCCGCCGTGGGTGTGATGACGCGCAAACAAAATGGCGACGGTTGGCCGCGCCTACTTGTGGCTTCTTTTGTGCTCTTTAGAAACCTATGGGTGACGTCACGGATACTACGTCAATATATTTTACAGTCTCTGGGCACAACGCACGCCTCCCACCAGTGTCGATATACAGCCATATCGCACTGCTACTCGTGTGATATTGCTCATATATATATATGTGTGTGTGTGTATATATATATATATATATATATATATATATATATATATATATATATATATATATATATATACTGAAATTAACCCTGCCAAAGACTCTAATAAATACTACAAAAATATTACTAGTCCATATGAACTAATAAACAAATGTTATTAAAATCAAGTAATGAAGCTGACAATTAGAAACGCAGGGATAAAATATTAAATTTATTATACAGCTCTCTGAAATGCTTGATTCTGGTTGGTCAGTCATGCCATTCAGAGATATATAAGATTAGAACCAGCTAAAATAATAACACAAGTTAATTTGGGTATTGTGAATAATCTTGCAACGAATCTTGCAATAATCTTTCTGCGAGTTTTACATATAATAAAAAGGATGGTAAAATATTAAAGCTCATTTCAAGGTTTTTTTTGTCTAACTGTTTAGCTTTGAGGCAAGTTGCCATGTAATAAGCAGTGTTATAATAAAATAGGGCCCTTCAGTTTTATACAACAGTGCTACACTTTGCTTCGGCCTGCTGGTAAGCCTGTCTGGCTTTATTTTGTGCTAACAACCAGCTAAATAGACATATACACCCACACACACATATATAAACACACGTGTGTGTGTGTGTGTGTGTGTGTGTGTGTGTGTGTGTGTGTGTGCGTGTGCGTGTGCGTGTGTGTGGGTTTATATGCAGAAGATACTCCGAAAACATTTTGTTGAAAAATTAGATCAAAGCAATTGACCCTAAAGGCAAAAGCATTTTAAAAATGAGGTCAAAACCACTGAACTTAAAAGCCAAACATATTTTTTGAATGAGGTCAAAACTATTGAAGACAATAACAAAAAAAAAATTTAGGAATAGGGTTAGTGATATGATGGCTTAACACAAATGTTGCTCCCAAACCAACATATGGCTGTCCTGTTTGGGTAAATACACTTCGCTGTGCTAGTGTCTATGGACCTGCAAAACAAACACACCAGTGTTAAAACGTACCTGATAAGAGTGTTGCTTCCTGATCCATCAGGGCTGAAGTACAGCACATTCTCCAGGGACAGGGAAAAGGACAGGCCCTGTGTGTCTGAGATATACAGGTGTGTGACATTATTATTGTGGTTCACACACACAAAGACCTGGTCTTCTGAAGCGTCTGCTATGTAGTACTCCTGCAGACAGAGAAAAGCAGAGAATAACATAAATATAGGCAAACAAAATGAAGCTTTTAAAAAGAATAAATCCATGGGAAAGTAAAGGAAGCTGATGGAGCTTACTGTGATTGGGTGACGGGTGTTAAACTGAGCTGCTCTCATTGGCTGTCGGTTGTAAGAAACCCAGAGCTGGACAGACTGAGACTCGTGGCTCCCCAATAATGCCTGTGGAAACACGTTTACATCGAGTTATCAATCATAAATAAAACAAACTTGATACCATATAATATTAGAATTTGTCATGTTTTTAGATAAAATAACAATACAACTATTTTTAAAATATTTATATTTGTTCTAATTTATTTATTTATTTTTATATTGGTGTTAAACAAGATCATACATAGTAGTATAAAATACAACATAGGACAAATTATTGACTGTCTTAGTTTTATTATTTTCAAACTTTCCCCTAAAAATAAAATACACAGAATTTATGAATTAAAAACAAACATATCCTCAGAGTAAAAACAAATAAATAAACACGTAAAAGTAAAAATCTTTTTAATGAACATGAAATAATAATAATAATAATAATAATAATTGAGCAATTTTTCAATAAAAAAAGTGATTAAACTTATTTTTAATTGTTTTATTTCAGCATTGATATAATAAGAACAATATGATGAATGGACTATGAAAAATAAATGCATTTTTCATGACATGATTTTATGACCATTGTGCATATTATTGTTATTAATTAAAATATATATTTTTAGTAATTACAAAGTATAAAATATTTGTTTTAATAATCATATATATATGATATAATTTATTTTATAATTAATGTTTTCAAAATAAATAATAACATCTTAATTATTGTATTACTCAATTGTTGATTTTTTATTATAAACATAGTGTTATCTACCAGTCAGAAATTAGCTTGTTTGTTAACTGGTGTGATAAAAAAAATAAGCTAAAAATAAATACTGAGAAAACAGAAGAGATGGTATTTGACCCACAGTATATAGGTGACCATCGTCAGGTGGTTGTACATGACCATCCTACTCAGTCAGAGACCTATAAGCACATGGGCATTTACAGTTGAAGTCAAAATAATAAGCCCCATTTTATAGTATTTTAATTTTTTTTCTGTTTCTTTTTTAAATATTTCCCAAATGATGTTTAACAGAACAAAAACATTTTCACAGTATGTCTGACAATATGTTTTCTTCTGGAGAAAGTCTTATTTGTTTTATTATGGCTAGAATAAAAAGCATTAATAAAAAGTTTTTATTTTTTTAAACCATTTTAAAGTCAAAATTATTAGCCCCTTTAAGCTATATTTTTTCCGGTAGTCTACAGAACAAACCATTGTTATACAATAACTTACCTAATTACTCTAACCTGCCTAGTTAACCTAATTAACCTAGATAAGCCTTTAAATCTCACTTCAGGCTGTATAGAAGTATCTTGAAAACTAACTATTTACTCTCATGATGGCAAAGATAAAATAAATCAGTTATTAAAGATGAGTTATTAAAACTATCAGTCTTAGGGTGCTTTCACACCTGTGAATCGATTCAGTTGTTCCAAAACAGAGATTACAATTGTTACATTGTTGCTCTTTGCTCTTGGTGCGATTCGCTTTCACATTGCAAAGTTTCTAATCGGGCCAAAAGAGCTACAACAAGTCACGTGCGAGTAAACTCTCCTCACATTGGTCAGAGTGTCAGGGTTTATTTTGCAGTCCCGCTCAGCTGTCAGGAGAGGTGGTGGTTTGGTGGTGATTGACAGGGTGCGCGACGATGCCTATTTGAGGACCGAGAGGGAGACGCGAGATTACCGCGAGATCATCACTCGTTTGCGGGCATACGGAGACTCGCGAAACTTCCCAGCCCACTCATAATTCTCTCTTCATATAGCCGTAAGCCTATTACATATCCATAAAACACTGTGATATAACCGCGCTCGGATCGGATCGCTTTTCACTGCAATCGAACCGCTCCAGGGTTCGTTTCAATTGAGCCGAGACCATCTCATTCAAGCGATCTCGGAGCGATTACTTTAGTGCGGAACAGAGCGCGATTGCCCTGTTCACATATGCCAAACGAACCTAACTGGGCATACGAGATACGTTCCGAAACAAAAGTGTAGGTGTGAAAGCACCCTATCTTCCCTCCGTTAAACAGAAATTGGGGGGGAAAAATAAAGGGGGGGGGGGTCTAATAATTCTGACTTCAACTACATTAACAGTTCTTTTACATAGAAAACACTCATAGAATGGGGTTGTTCTCATTTACACCAGAGAGTTAACAAGTAGTATATAAAGTTGTTTTATAAAGCATTTCTTGAAAGCATTGTCAGGTATGGTATCACAGTGTGGTTTGGTATCTGTATAGTGTAAATCTAACTATAAGACTATTTAACTTAAAGACAGGATGAAAATTGTTGGGTACAATGAATATTTTATTCCTCAAGTTTTAGATGAGAATTGTGTCCTTTATTAGATAGAAATGATTCTGAATGATCCAAATATATTTTTTTTTGTTTTCACATAATGAACTGCCTCCCTCTGGTAGGAGATATAGAGTCCCTAAGTGTAGGTTGAACCGTTATAAGAAATTTGTTGTAGTTTCAGTGGGTTTATTTAACAAGAGTTTCTCTTAATTAGCATTATAATTGTTGTAACTACTGTATTTTGTATTGTTTTTATTGTTTGTTTTTCTGAAATGTCTGTAGCAATATGATGATGACCATAATAAATGTCCTGTCAAGAACAATAAAGTTTACTAATACTCTTCTACTACTTTTATTATATTATAATATTATAATTATATTATAATAATAGCATAATATATTAATTATAAATATAGTATAATATAATATATAACAATATAATATAATATAATATAATATAATATAATATAATAAAACAAAATAAAATAAAATATAATTTAATATATTTATTTTCTGTATATTAATAAATAGTCATTAATAATAAAATATTGCATTTAATGTTAATTCTGTAATTATTGGTCTCTGAATAGTAGTATTATTAACCTGTTATAAAAGAAATAATTTTAAAGTATAAATAAATATTTAAAAATGGGTATGGAAGGACGGACAGACTTTCACTGCTACTGAAAACTGGCATGTAGTGCAGTGAAATAATGAAAATTAAGTCATAAAAGATTTTTACACAGTAATCTGACTCCTTCAGCTGCCATAAACCGTGTCATGTTATCACTATAAACGAGCTCTAAATGGCCGACACAGAGATTTGCTCCGCCAGCACTGTTTTCACTGGGCTCCTGTATCCGATACCACTTAATAAGGACAACTGGGGATTCGAAAGAGGAAAAAAAAAACAGCCAGTCTCATTTGTACTTCTAAAACATGCTGATTTTTCAAAGATAAGAGAGAGACGGGATTCTGCTTCTAGCAATACTAGTCTAGTCAGATTCCCGGGAACCTACATGTGTCTCTGTCTAAAATGAGCAATGCATCATGAGGGATGAATACTTTCACTCATTCCCCCATCTTCAAGTCTCTCTGACACTTTCTTCCTTAAAGCTTCAATCAATGGTGAAGTTCAAGAGGCTCAATCAGTCTTTCTTCTGTCCGACAAGCTGTCAGTGTAATCAAGCTGTGTGTGAGTAGGAGTTACTTACATCAGGTTCAAAAAGTCACACCTCAATAGTGCAAGAGCATACAGGCTTCATGTCTGCTTCGGAACACTAAATAGCTATCTTTGTGGGCGAATACATCACCATTGAATTGCGGTGACTTGGAATTCAAGGGAAATCAGATACATAAGTTTAGAAAAAGGTCAGATGTTCAGATATCTGATGTGCATCTCATTTAAAACCACATTTGGATGTTTATCAGAGAGATTTGGAAAATATATGTCAGCAATACACAGGGTTTCTACAGGTTTCATCAAGTCAAATATTTAACTTTTTAGGATTATTATGAATGACATTTCAGACGTACAAGGCTAAACGCTAAGGATTTTTTCTAAAGGCCCAATTAAAACATAAAAAAACACTTTAAAAAATTGTCATTGTAAGGAATATAATTAAACGGTATGTTTATAAATATAAATAGAGATGGTAAATAGAGTTAATAAATAAGAGTTAATAAATAAACCTTTGTTAAAACTTTCATTAAGATGGAATGATAGTGATTTGGATGGGTGTTGGCCAGATTGGGTAGCTTTATATACACATAGGAAAATTAAGGCCTGTTTAAAATAATTTAAGACCAACAACAGAAAATTTCAGTGAATAATAACACTTTTTAAGATTCCCCCCGATACCCTAAATGAATACATTGGGTTCTATTTTGACGGTCCATGCGCAAGGACGCAAACGCATTAAGGGCGTGTCAGAATGCACTTTTGCTACTTTAAGGACGTAAAAATCCACTTTGTGCCGTGGTGCATGGTCTTACTGGGTTGAACTTTTTCTCTTAATGAGTTATAGGTGTGTTTTGAGAATAAACCAATCAGAGAATCAGTGTCATCTCCCATTCCCTTTAAGAGCGAGTTGCACCACGCCAAAGCACATTTGCTATTAACAAGGCGGATTTTGTAAGTTGAAAAACTGAACACTTCACTAAAGAGAAAACAGCTAAACAGAGCATCCACGTGCGAGAATGAGAGATGAGCCTCCTCATTGTTTACTTTCACTTTCACTCTAGTGGATAGGGAAACGTGTTGTATGCACAGACATCCATGAGCCTATACATAATAATTTTGTTTGTTAAGCGCAAAGATTTGTTTCAAAAATCAAAACTATTTCTAAATTCAGTTCTAATTTCCAGCAAACTAATAAATGAACAATCATAACGAAGTGTGGTCAAAAACCTGAGTTATATCCTAATACACATGGTATGCCCCATATGGTCAAAAACCTGACAGGTGGACAAATCAGAGCTTATTTTTTAAAAACAAAGATAAATATGCATATAATAAATAATACTACTATATTATATATAATAAGACCAAATATACTTTATATTTTTTATGTATTTACTTTATTTTTAATTGTTGTGTACTCTCTCTCAGCCAACAGTCTTTTAATGCAGTAGTATTTATTTATATTGGTATTGCGATATAGGCTTTATGTATCGTGTCAAAGTCACCACTACATTTTACACACAAACTAAGATCTAAGATGAAACTTTTCCCAAAGCCTTTATAAAACTGTAATGGATATTATTGT